ATCACTCTTAATGAAGTTAAAAATATAAAAGCCTCCATTAGTAAAGGTAAAGTGGACCTCATTGTTAATAACTTAAGGAATGGCGAGTCACAATGACATCTTTCAATTACTGAAATCCCGTGGGAAGTTTATGGAGTATTATTCAGACGAACAGATCCGGAATTCATTAATGAGAGTTTGTTTTCCGACTTATAAGCAAACAGTTCCCGGAGGTTGTGGCTATTGACTCCACATATAATGCAAATAAAGGGAAGTAAGTTAACTCATTCAAAGTGCAGGTATCCTTTGTTCCAACTGGTTGTTACGGATAATTTCGGTCGTAGACGACCAGTTATATTTGCTTGGAGTCAAAAGGAATTTAAACGTTATGTAATTTGAATTTTAGACGCATTTCGCTAGATGATGGGAAATATTTCTAAAACCGTGACTTTCATTATGGACTGTGCACAATCGGAAGTTACCGCACAGACAAGCACATATTGTGCTGTGTTCTTTTGATATTTGTCGTGCATTCTGTCGGAAAGCAAATTTTTTGTAAAATAATGAAAAGTTCAGTTGTAGACGAGGAATCCGATTGTGAAGGGCTACTTATGTCTCTTACTTCAGTGTAAAAGGAGTTCACAGTAATACCTTAAATAATATTCTCATTTTTCAGACTTAATTTCTATTTCTGAGCCATAACCAGGCTGTATGTTAGCGTTAATCCGTATATACAACGGCGCTGGATAAGTCGACGACACCTGTGAACAGCAGCTTTTAATAATCGTGTGTTGACTATAGGTAATGTCACGAATAAACGAGTCAAAAGTTCACACAAACAAATGAAGCGTTACCTGCAAAGATCACGCAGTCTGCAAAGAAGCATGTTGAAGGTGTATAAGTGGTGTGTCAATGTTCTTCAAGAATACACCGGGTGGCACTGATAGCTCAGTCACGATGTTTTATGAATCACTGCTCACAACGTCTACAACCAAAATTACAAAGACTAACGCCATGCGCCTCGCGGAAAGTGATCCTTGAATATAAAAGGCGACGGTGGGCTTCCGTAGAGGTTGAAGTTTCGGACTATGTCTTCTTCAAAGACAATGGGAGGAGGATAGAGGTGGATCTATGTGTATTCACAAGCATGTGTAGAACGTTCCATACTGGTAGGTATCCTTGTCGACATTTGCTACTGTGCATTTCAGAAAGGCGTGTTTTACAGGTATATTTACATTTTTTTAAATACCTTAACTTTTGATTGTATTTAAGAATTACTATGTTGTTAGCTACATTATTTGCTATTTTATGACGTTCTATTTGTAATCTATGTTGACAAAGCCTCAAGCAACTGAGAATCTTTGGTACTTAACTTAACAATTCTCAGAAACCTTCGCATATATACACGACGTTCACTAGAAACAGGATATAAAAGGTGGCATTTTCGATCTTGTAATATTGTGTTCATAATTATCTGTGCGTTTCCTGTTTTATCATTTGTAGTTAATCATATGCTACGGGGGTGTCAGTGATGGACATGGTTACGCGACTCATACACATCTCAAAGCACGTCAGCAGCTGTCCCGGAAAAACCCTGTGATGAATACTTCACCAATACCAGGCTTATGAATGTCTGCTTTTCGAAAATTAGTGACAAATTTGGAGACAGTGTTGCGGCAGACTACGCAGGAGAAGTGGTTGCAGGAACGCAATTTTCTTAAATATGTAAATAAACTAAATTTGTACAAGAATATAATAAACTTTTCCCATAAACATTATTGTGCTCGCAGTAGGAGTATGGCACGCTAGACTCCCTAGGAGATGAACTTGTTGCTTTAGTTGCTTTAGTCAAGCGGAAACATCAGCCTAAAGTTGAGCGACTTTGTCCCCCACCACATGTGAATTTGTAGGGAAGAATGAAAAGAAACCTAACCTATGTACTTGATATATAAAATTAGAGCTGAGGCACTGTGGTGGAGTTCAATTTCGTATAAGATTAAGTGTAATCAAAAGTAGTGCATTACTATTATTCCAATTAAAGCTTCTTGTCAATCCATATTAATACGGGTGTTAAGGTATACTGCAAAATAAATTCTACACGAGACGACTGATTGAGTAGACGGAGCGGTAGTAATCGTAGCAATATTTCACTTGCATTCAATTATGCCATCAATTGCTTTATCAGGTCTCACGGATAAGTCTAGCCTCTATCTCTTAATGGTGACGAATGTATTTTCATTCAGATGGAATGAGGACAGTACGATAAGCATGATGTTAAATATAAATAATGAAAAATAATAACAGGCTAATGTCTTTACACAATTGTTTGTCGTAGTTATTTCGGCGATGTTGAATTGCTGTGACCAGGATAACTCACGTTACCCGACATCTGAAATAAGTGAATAAAGTCTGTTTTTTCTTCCTTGATGTTAGAGAAAGATTATATAAAAATTAAAATTTAAAATGTCGTCTAAAAGGGTGTTTACTACGAATGCATGCTATTTTTACAAGCACTATCAGGTATGTGATATATGACAATCGTTAAGTACCATAGATTAATACTTTTTCATAAGTTTTTGTGTAAGCGCTACGCTCTCAGAGAATTGAGAGCTATTTCATCAAGAGGAGAACGTCCTGGTAAACTGCAAAGTGGCATAAAATGCAGTTATGCATAATACATCATTGAAAGTACACCTACAAGATATATACGCCAAGGGGCTATAGAGTTCTTGGAATGATAGTATACATTTGCAATGTTTAATGCTTGTCATATTGGTCTAAGCATGAAACAATGGTGCTTTCGATGAAAATATAGCTCTGTTCAAATGTTGGTGTTGTTGAAGCAACAAATATCAACAAAGAGTAAGTTTTGGCTTTAATAATAAAATGGAATGTAATAGTGCGTAAATGAAAAGATCATGGTGAGGTAGATAGGTAGTATTTCAGTGGAAAGTGAATTCAAAGATCTGTAAGATTAGGATTCGTAAGATAAGCTGACCTGTAAGATGTCTCACGAATTTCTGTAAAGCTCATGGGGTGGAAGTAATGTTTTGGCGTTATTCTGAACTTTGGAAAGATGATTTACAAATCTAAAGGGTAATAATCATCGAAACTAAAGTAACATTTTCTAGCTGTTCAGAGTATTTCCCTTGATGCAGTTTCTTATCAACAATTTGCATTTGTCCTAGTGATTTTTCAGGACGCTTGACTTCCTCTTCACTTTTATCAGCTGCAACTTCACGCACAATAGCATGCGGTAACTATGTATACTCAGGCACTGTAACCTGAACATAAAATTCCTACAGATAACTTGTTTATAACAAATGCCTAAGAAAATTAGTCATAAGTGCACCTTCCATATCTTCCACAGCCACGGGTAATTCATTAAGGACCTCAAGATATCTTAGTGACCTGAAAATGAAAAATTATTAGGATTGATATAAGTTAAGTAATAAGTGTAGTAGCTGTAGCGCGCAGCTGCTAGCTACTTTACGACAGAAAGCTGACATTTTAGAAGGACCATCTATACTATTCTTCTTGCCCCAATGCACACTGGTATTAATGTAATCTGATGCAAATTTATGCACTGAGCAATTGCGGTCTTCCGAAATTCCATGTGACAATGTAAATTAAACTAGTATCACATCTTCGGCTGAGCAATTTAAACCATGAACTTCGTCTTAATGGACATACTCACCAGGAAATTCAGCAGCTTGTCCCATTCATCGCATGATTTCTTCTATGTGTTATGGAAGATTTCACTCATCACGGATGAAAATAAGAATGTTTAACATCCTTAAAACATACATCTAAATTATGTCTGTGGGCTTATTCTCTTTAAAATGCCTGATTCTCTAGAATAACTGCTATGTCGACAGCTATTGCCTTTAACCAATTTACAATCTGAAAATCTAAAGCAACTCGCGAATATCAATGCTTTAAGGTTTTAAAAAGCAAATAATAGCTATTTCTATGCAAAATTTCTTTAAAAGGATGCCTTCTTTTAGTAATAATTACTTTGGAATACCAAGACAGTTTTACACATTAATACGAACACAATACAGGAAAATAGTGCTTTTCTTCAGTTACAGTCAAATTTACTCCATTTTCACAAAAATAAACGCTCATAACGCCCCTATAGGCATGAATGCGATAACGCATACAGTGCGCGAAAATACATCGTGATAGCCTTTATCCTCACCCCTGCTAACTGCCTTTATATATATGTAAGAACCGCTTTGCTGTTCGTTCAGTCCATTTAAATACAATATGTATAGGATAAATTTACATTAAAAATTCATAAGGGAATTTTACGCCATTACTATCTCTAGTTATTCGTTTGTTGGAAAGAAACCACGGACTGATATAAGAACTGTAATTGTTGACTTACATCACAGATGGTATTTCTTTTGGATACATTTGAAGAGAATTTATGAGATGCTGGGGAAGCCGCCACCCACGAAGGTGACATAGTTGTACATACGCCAATTCTTTTCAAGCATATTACGTCTGCAGACGCGGATAAGACCACTGAAGTACGCAAAGGGTCCGCTTCAAGATATCGTAAAGGAGAAGTCTAACTTTCTATTTTCGCGCCTTCCCGAATTATATATTTTGATTATTTGCTATAACCTCTTCGATCTTTTGCTTTTCATGATCCGTTTCCTCTCACTTTATAGTTATTTAGACTGTGATATTCATTTTGATTTTACTACCTGAAACTTTACTGTTGGAATGAGTGCCTCAGACTTCATAGGAGCGCATATCTGACAGAATGACAATAATTCTAACGGTGAACGAACCACCACCTCCTGCGTTTTGAATTCGTATAATTTGAAATTGCTTTGAGTTCCACTAAAGAACTGTAACCATTTCCAAACAACAGATGGGAGGCGGTAGGTTGCCAGTAAACTGACAGAAGCACTTAAGTTTATATCTGACTCCATATAATAATTCTTTGTCCATTTTTTGTCCATCAAAGTTGTGGGTTACATCCACCCCGGGAAAATTAATTTGGCTTCCGAAACCCGCTAAGAAGCACCGATGTAAGACAATTTCAACTCTATTAGTAGTTATTTTACGTGGTGTTTTTTTTTGTATTCCACCTTTCTAACAGCTTTGGCGATCTTCGTGAAATATCTCCCTGTGTAGCTATAGTCCTCTATCCATTATAAATTAATCTACTTTTTGTTGTCAGATAATAATTATAGGAAGTGCGTAATGAAACAGAATATAGAGTGGTGAATTAATTTTTCTAAATTTCTCTCTACATTACACTCGCTTTTGAGTTTGCTCCCGATTAGAACTCGTAATGATCATATATACGAATATAAGTAGAAACGGCTCTGCTGACGTGAATAAGTGGTAGGCCTTCGGACGTATGTATGTATGTGTGTATGTTGCAACTCTGTGACTTTTTTCCGAACATTTTGTAAGGTTGGGAGTCCAGTAAATCTAATTTTTCGCACAGATCCAGAGAAAGTTAAATGTGGAATTGTTCAGTCATAATAGAAATTAATGATGAGAGTGTTAAAAGCTGTACATGTTTTAGCGATCATAGTTATCCAGTCTAACTATACTGTAAGTAATGAGGTCAACTAGACTACATCTTGAAGTTTAGGCTTACTTCATTATCCGATGAGGTAGTTAATCTAATACAACTAAGTCCTAAAAGTTTGTTGCGTTTATGATGGTAAGGTAACCTGTGGTGATCCTGACATCACATAGGTTGGTAGTCTAGTTTATATTTTATATTAATCACTAAAGCATATATATATAACAGGAACGTCTAATGTCCAGAGGAAAGTGTACTGGTCAGATATTCACCTTTCAACAAGTTTTGATATATAGACACCAGCATCTTATATTTCCAGCATTTCTTTACCTAAAGACCTCATTTAACCACTGTAGTCGAGAGCAGTTGCGTCGAAGCTTGACTGTAGTGGGAATGTCTAGAAAATATTAATGGGAGCAATTTTCTCAAATTCATACTGCTATTTAAGAGGCTATGAGTGATTTACATTTGGTGTTGACAACCAGTGGTGCCTGGTAAAGGCGCACAATCATGGTCTTTACGTAGTTGTTTTATGGAAACTACTAGATTTGACTCTGGCATCTCAAGAATCAACTCGCTACTGAGGAAGAACTCTCCTTAAATTGCACTCACACACAATATAGGGCTTTAAGTGTGAACGGTACAGAATCTGTTTTCTAACCAGTGGAAGTAAGATTCTTAGTGTGTTTCGCACTCATTTTCCACGTCTGACAGGTGTCAGAGGTGGTCTTAACTAACTCTTACCGGTGAATTGTATCAAGTTTGCCCGACTAGCTGGTAACGAAGTTTTATCGTAAAAGAAACAATGGTTTTTCTCGGTAGTTGCCAAATTTTGTCATCCTTTATACTGGTGTCACCCGCTTATCAGTACTTTATAACTGTGTTATATCAAATAAAGTTGGGTGACTTATGATTACTTTATGGGCATCTTGTTGGTATTCTAAAGTTTCAAGTCCAGTCAGCTTCTTCGTGTTTATTTACGAATTTATCACAACAGACCTACGCTGTAGTAAATGTCTTCAGCTCTCAACTGCTTCGCTTTCTTTGGTTATTTAAATCTTCGAAGTCAGCAACAGCTTTATTGTGATCACTATCACCACTACTATTTATTCTTCGCATTCCGAGTGTAATGTGAGGTTTCACTAGCACATATCCATTTCACTGCGTTTTGACCGTCACATTCATTTGGCACCACGATTGCCCATAAGCCTCATTCCCTTATCACATGATCTCAGTGTTACTCTCGGAATCTCAAATTGTCGCTTCTCACTCGGGTTCCACCCAAGGGCTTGGCGCGTCATTCAACAGTGTCCACACCGTATGCTCAGTCTATCTTTATTTCCTTCAACATAATTGTGGGGTAATAGGTTGTCGATTGATTCAACGCTTGTTACTGGTTGCTTATCCTTCCCCGTTGGCCATCTGATCTTCAGTATAGAGCCTGCGAAGGCATCTATTAATGAGTCTGTGGGTTTTGGTGACGCCATCTTCAGGCATCTGAGTTGTATTAAAACACTGACTTGACATTAATGTATACGACTTGGATATTGTTTTATGTTCTGAGTGCAGTATATTTCCCCACTGAATTCAGAGCAATAAGCACATTTCTTGCTTTTCCAATCCGGTGCTGGTAGGTTTTCAAGTCCTAATTGATACTGCCTGCAGTTGAGATGGTGCTACCTATGTAAGTGAAAGAGATGACTTGCTTTAAATTCCAGTCTTTGACAATAATTGGTGTTTGTTGTAGTTGATCAAGTATCTTTATCGCCTCTACGTTCAGCTGAATTCCTGTCTTTGCTACCTTTCCCGCCAGCTTGTTGAAAGGCGTTTGTATACCTCCGAGTTTGTGTGATTTGAGACAAATCACCTGCAAAATTCAGATCCACTAAGGTCGTCCAACTTATCTCTTTCTCCTCACTCTCCACGGCATAATAAGTTCATAGTACAATCGTAGTAAATTAACCTGTGCGTTTCATTGTCTCATTTATTACCATGTGGGCTCATCCTGTGTCCTTATTGGATTGTTCACACGTAGCAATTAAGGTTTTTTATGTACTATTCTTTCTTTTGCACACTTTTTCTTGACTTAGCAAATGGATGAAGAACTCAATGATTCCGACATATCGCTGGACGATTCAATACATTCAGGCGAAAATGACGAGCTTGTAAACTTGTTAGATGTCCCGTATACTAGTACCGAGCCACGTGAAGAGGACTCATTAGAATATGAGGTAAATCCAAAGAATTTTTTCGCATTTTCCTAGCAACTACCGGTGTATCTGCGCATATATTCTCAGTTTTTTTCGCTTTCATTCACCTAGAAATAATCTAGGATTTTAGTATCGGTTCGTAAAACCGAAAGCACACATTAAAGCAAGTAACCTGATTTTTGATAAAACTGTAATACGCAGGTGATTAAAAAGCTACTTAATATTAAATAAACATAACTCGATGAGAGTGACTTTATGATATCAATCCACAGATTTATTTTAAATTCCTTCATGTCCCCAGTAGAACATAAGGCTCTAAGCTAGAATCTTGAAGTTTTGTTAGCAGTCGTATTCATTTTTTACGGGATGGGATTGCTAGCCTCGTGCCCAACCTTCCCTCTTTACCAGTCTTATTACTGGCTTAACGAGGTAAAGGAGTACGTCGACCGGGGATTGAACCCCAGACCACAAGCGCGGTTGGCGAGCATTCTGCCGCTGTGCCGCCGACGTACAATCCACAGATAATGGAAAGATAATCGCATTAGCGGTATTTGTAAATCAGTATGAGCGAGACTATTTAGATTTTCATGATCAATTATTCAAGCCAATAATACTGAAAGTGAAGAGAAAGTTATACGCGATTTATTGCCAAAAGTTTTAAATAATTGTAGGGTAGAACTAATCGTGAGTACCTATCTATTTGGCTGGGATCTAACTTCCTTTTTAAAGCTAGAGTAATAGTTTATTGCCAATTATGGCAATTAATTATAAATCTAGAATCCTAGTATCGTCCGCCCATACTTTCTCGCTATTTTCCATTTAATTTCATTGATAAGTATTGCAAGATTTCTTGATGTTCTCGGCGTAAGCTTCCAAAAGTAAATCTTATTGAAAAATCAGTACTCTAGATAGTTATTGGTTTTCACCTGGTAATATATCGATTAGTCCATTCTTTTATTGATGTAGTATTTGAAGCTCTAGACTATTGTTATTATTGTCAATATTATGAATTGACTTCATATTCAGAAAAGGAATGTTTTATTACCATAGGACTTTTTTTGAACCTTGCTATTGGCTGTGCTTTTTGTGATTTTCGTAATGTATGCGAGGAAGGAAATGATTCAGAATATATACTAATGCGCTTCTTTAATGTATTGATAACGAGAATTAATTCACTAATTCTAATGATACTGCCTAAAGACTAAACTGTTGAAGTTACCGACTGCAACCAAATTCGTACACTTCGTTTTACTTCTGTTCTATTAAAAATAGTCGGATCTTTTCGAAATTCAACTCCCTTAGGTCAACACTTAAGGGAAATAAAAAAACTCCGATTCCAATCTTGTGGTATGTATGGACTCTAGGATCCGAAAGGGTCCAATAACGTATTCATCTGTTTTGATCACTGGCTACCATTAGAACTCAGCTCTTGACGCTGCTCTGCTACTTTGTGGGTCAGGCGTGTAGTCGGTGGCTTGTGGAGTGGTCCCTTAAGAAAACCATCTACTTCGGTCTGGGCCTTCAGCCAGTATCTCACTCTCCTCATAAATCATGAAGCAATAATCAGTGAGAGTATGTTTCCGTGTCTACTATGACAGGCTACTTCTTTAACCATATTTTAGCAAATTAGTTCTAATTTTATTTTTCTATGTGAACCATTTTGTTTTATTTTTACCACCTCTTCTGTTCTCGCTTTCTCCAGACTCTCTATTTTTTGAAATCTCAGCCTATCCTCACCGTTTCGAGCTCCTAGTTATTCCCCTTCAGAATGCTGGTCCCCAGTGCAATATCTAAAACGGGTATCCTGAAACTGAGTGTCGCATTCAAGCCTGTCACCCACAATGTTGGCACATGGCTCCAAATCAGACAATATGCAGGCTTGGTCAGTACCCATGTCCACAGCATTTCAGAGACCTGCATTCAAGATCACAGTAAAGTGCATCGAATATCTTCACCATCAGCAAGCTCAAATGCTGTGTCCTACCTGCACCTATCTGCGGATCCTATAGCGTTGACACCCACCTCAGCTGATATCAGTGTCGTGTTAAGCGCTAAAGCCGGAGCTGCATTAATCGACTGCGTCGCTATTAACAGTCGCTTGTGTGCAATGAGGCTAGAAGGTTTTCCCAGAGTAAAAAGTAACTCGCCAGAGAAGCAGTGTCTGTTTGTTGTCTGAGCCTGTTCACCGACGGATTGCAGCGTAGATGTGGTTAAGTATGTTTTACTACCAACTAACCGGCTTCTGATGCTGGCGTGTCAGGGAACTATTTCAGTACTAACTGGGGATTTAAATGGATAGGTCGGGCGTCCAGGCTCATAGGATAGTCATCAGTGGGGTTTGCGTGGTCAGATCATTTGAACTATCTTCCGCAGCTTTACCCAGATCAAAACGTATTTTTAACCAGCACCAACTTCCTACAGAGCTGTCTCCGTAGCTGCCTATCCAAATCAAGCCTGAAGTCAAATCGGTCGCATTGTTTTCAGTTTCCGATAGCATGAGTGCATACAGGACTACCGGTCTTTCTGGATCACATGACTGAACTCCGTTCATATTTAGTATATATCAGGTTCATCTTGCAACCTCGTGGTTACGTGATTAAACTGGTAGGACCTGCTACTTATGCGAACTACTAAAGTAAGCTAGAGTCAATGCTAGGTAATAACCCCCTTCCCGAATAGATGAACTTTTGCTTTATCTGAAAGAAATGAAAATAACGAATAAGGTCGCTTGTTGCTTAAGAGAATGCTCTGCTAAAACACATTGGGTTTCTGCGAGTTCCCTATAACTCCTAGACTGCCATCAGTCCGTTCCCATGGGTAGCGAATCTAATAACACGCGCAAGGCTGTCATGCGTAAGATCAAACAGTTTACGTAAGGACCGCCAAACCTAGTGGTCACAGTGTTCGCATGAGATGGAATCAGCAGCTGCGTCTGACAATAGCTGGGAGTTGTCCCGTCTCACCCGAGCCACCGGCAGTAATAAGTATGGTGTCAGCGAGACTGTCTGTGAGGCAGATGGTACACCAGTTAACAACCTGAAAAGACTCTGGGTATGGCACTTCGAGAGGCAATCCAGCTGGTTTGACAGTGCCTGCATCCAACATCACCAACTACAGTGCTCCACTATCGGTAAATATCGAAACCAAACGAAACGGAGATACAGAAGGGACTCCAGGTGTTGAAAGACTACAAGTCATGCGGCTCTTATTAAAAATGGCACCGAAACTTTAGTCGGGGATCTGGCTGGATTGTTTAGAAAATTATAAGAAAGTGAGAATGTTCCGTCAGTGTGGGATGAAGCTATTGTCGTGCCTATCTTAAAAATGGCCTATGTAATGCATGTGACATTCACAGGGTATTAGTTTGCTGCCAGTATCGTCTAAAATATTGGCTGCTATCTTGCTTCGCAGGCTTTGCAGAAAAAATGAAAGACTGATTAGCAGAAAGCAGGTTGGGTTTCGTTTAGTCCGTGGATGTATTGGCCATTTGTTCACTCCTCTTCAGTTTGTAGAATTTCACTCGTATTACAGGCCACCAATCGTTGTGTTTCTTGATGCTAAGGCTGCCTTCGATTCCTTGGACAAAAAGTATCTGTTAGAGAGGCGTTTCTGAAAAGTTTGTCAATATCATGAAAGCCATATACAGAAACACCGGTTTTATTGAGGGCATACAACCAGCTACTCAACCAACTGGGGTTAGACAAGGTCACCTAATGTCACCATTTCTCTTTTACTGCGGTGTCGATGACATTCTGGTGACAGTTCTGAAGGACATACGTGGTGATGGTGTAGATCTGCTTCCTGGAGAAAGACTTTTCAACCTGGAGTATGCAGACGATATCGTCTTACTGTGTAATAGCATTCAGGCTGCCCAAATCGCACTTAATTAGTTGGATATCAATGTCTATAAGTATGGTATATGCTTTGCACTGTCATAGTGTAATGTACTGTTACAAAGTTGCATCTGCACTTATCCTTGAGGGTGAACCGCTTGAAGTTGTCGACAAGTTTGTTTATCTACATATTTGTGTGAGTGCTGGCGGTGTGACAGACTAGATCTGTAGTCGTATAGTGAAAGCTGGGTAGCACCTACCAACTTGCTCCACCTTTAGCGTTGCCGTGTTGTGAGTACGGCTGTCAAAGGTTAGGTTTGCAATGCTTTGGTGCGTTTAGTCATGCTGTACGCCTATGAAACTCAGTCTCTTCAAGCTGAGGGTGTAAAGCGACTATCTATTCGATCAATTCTGCCTCTATAGAATCGCGTTCAGTGTCATAAATATGTAAGCAGTTCTCAGGTCCGGCAGCGTGTATTCGGACACAGTGGAGGTCGTCTTCTATTCAGTGTTGTCACCTTAAAACACTGCCTTCGGTATTCTGCACATGTGCTACGAATGTTATTCCAGCGGCTTCCATATCGTTTATAGCTTGCTACTTTTGGTACTGGATGGGAAAAACGGAAGGGGGTCAACCCATGAAGGGGAACTGTGGGATGAAGGATAGTTGTGTTAAGTTAGCATCTGTTGGTGTATCACGACTCCAATAGATAACTCGAATGAGGCGCTGTTAAATATGGTCGGTAACCGTAATTACTAGGGAATATGCTGCAATTTCTTCCTTTCTTCCCGAAATTAGCATAAAGTATTGGACCATTCTTTGGATGTTCTTGACAAATATGCTTACTTGATTCTTGGATATTGTCCCTCGTCTCCTCTATCCCTATTTCCTTTATATCGTTATTTTATTTTTTGTGTGGAGCATTTCTTGGTGCCTATATTGTATAAAGTTTGTGTTTCAATAATAATATAAGAGATTGTAAACTCGACGCGCCAACATCACCTTCATATTCCTAATTATTTCTGGCTGTTGGTTTTGATTTGTTCTCATTGATTAAAACGATGAACTCGCTGTATATTACTTTATCATGCGAGGTTCGTCTTTATTCGCTAATTTCACCATTTTTAATCTCAAAGAGATACTAGACTATCTATAGAAAGGGAAGTGTGCTGCACGATAGTTCACTCTCTTTCACTTTTTATTTTGTAAGGTGTCAAACAACCTAAGTATTATTTTTGGATTCAAGTTAATAATCTTATTTACTAAAATTTACTGCTGACTTTTTTCATCATTGGTCAGAAGCCTGAACTCCATTTCTTCAAAATAAAAAAGCAAATAAATGTTATTTACCGACGTAATAAATCGTTAAGTTTATTTTGCTAAACACATTCTGATAGTACGAATATTTCGAAGTGTTCGTTTGTTTAGAGAAAAGGATTTTTTAAATAAAGGCGTATTACACTAAAGGGCATTGTTAATACCTTATACCACATCTCTGTTATTTTTAGATATTGCATCCTAATCAACTATCACAACTAATGTCTGATATTACTAAAGAAGTTGAACAAATAATCCAAATTGCCCCAACATATCTAAGGTTGTTGCTAGCTCATTTCAAATGGGATAAAGATGCTCTGATGGAATTTTATTTTGAACATGGGAAGGCGCATACATTTTCTCAAGCCTCAATTATAGATCCTATGGATATTCCGGGTAAGTTGTAGTAATTGTTTAAGATATACTCTTTAAATTTGTCTGTATTTAAAAAAAGCTTTATTCATATATGCAAGTTTTATTTAACATTACCTTTACATTCACTTATTTGAACATTTTGGCTGTTAATAGAATGCTTTAATAACTTTATCCATATCTTATAAAATGTACATATTTTTTAACAGAATCTTATTGTGAATTCAAGCATATTTCCATTTCACTCTCTCCTCTGAAGTCCTTTTGTTTCTTCCTCACATGATCTCCTCCATATCACCGTCAGTTGCCCAACCCGTTGTTTCGCATTTGGCCTCCATTTGAGATCGTGGCGCATGACGTCACTCGGTGGGGGTCTCCTTGGCGTATGCCCGTCCCACCTCCATTTCCTTTCGCATATCTGTTAAGCAATAGGTTCTTGGTCGGCTTGTTGGCAGTTTCTTATTGCTATTCCTATCTGGTCATATATGTAGGCTAAACTCAATGTTTATAGTCTACTGTAATACAGGATGTAGTATTTAAGGCCATTACTTCTTTTAATCCCGAGGACTCCAAACAGGAAGCCTACACTTTACCTATGTGGTTCAAACTGACTTTCGAAGATTTTATGAACTAATTCCAAGTTTTGCATAGCACATGCCCTAACCATCTTAATCGGTGTAACTTCACAACCTCATTGATTGATTATTCCTCCTTACCTGGCTCTCTGCGCCTAACCTCAATATTGCTCACCCCATGGAACGCAGACACCTATGATCAAAGACAGCTAGCCAGGCTTTTCATGTCTTCCACTCTCAATGGCCACGTCTCGCTCACAGCTATAAAGGAGGACGGAGCGGACTGCTAAGCAGTACACACGCCCTTTGGTGGATAGCCGGATATCACGTCTACGCCAGAGATGACGTAAATTGGCATATACCAAACGAGCCTTCAGCACCCGTGTGGTGACTTCGTCAGCAATCAACTTGTTGGTGTTGGCTGATTCAACTTCCCAAATAAGTGAAGTGATCAGCATGATCTACCACTTTTCTCCCTATTTCTAAGCTATGAGTCAGTGTAGTCCAGTCCTGTAGCGTCATCCTACATTTGACATCAGGGACGAATCACATGCCAAACATTCATGGATTGCAACTCAAGGTGTTCAGAAGACTGCGTTTTGTCAGTATCTTTATTAAGCGGGGAGGACTATATCATCTGCATATTCTAAGTCAACGAGATTATTCCTTGGTAGTAACAAGTTAATTGCTGAGTCGCTGAAGTCAGCAGTTAGGGTTAAGTCCATTAGTACATCTATGATGAAATTGAATAGAAATGGGGATATTGGGATCCCTGAAGGACACCACTGGTTGTCACCACTTCCCTTTAGTGAATTTAACAATTGGAATAAGAGAAAAACGGTTTCATTTTGTTTCACCAGTATCTTGTTAACTGCATATAGTCTAGTTAATGTAAGTAGGTTACATAACAGTCTTAATATGCTTTTTTTTTGTTTGAAAAACAAAATGTAAAATCTAAATTAAGAATGATCATGGTGTACAGATGGATCATAACGTTAACTTAGTAAAATATACCGGATTGTTGCAATTAGGCTTATAATCCAACTAAAGTTCCTCTAAAAAAGGAGGTTGTTTTATCAATATTCTGAAGCGATCCGGTCACACAGCAATTAGTTGACATACCATTTCAAGGAAACCTCTAAAATTTCGTCAAGACAATAAACAAACCAGCAGGTTGGAATTTCCTGAAGTTTGCAGAGCCTATCTCAATCAAACGCCTAAAGCCTGAGTTGTACATTCACAAAGAGGTTGTATTAAGTCTGTCACTAAGTCTTTAACCATCGATTGATTGCGTCATCTTTTGTGAGGTGTAAACGTTAGTTTCTTTTTTTACACATAGTTATTATTAATTTTTATTCTTTTACGTTCCCAGTGGAACATAGGGGTTCAATCTAGAGGCCTAAAGTTTTGTTAGCAGTCGTATTCATTTTTTACGGGATGGGATTGCTAGCCTCGTGCCCAACTTTCCCTCTTTACCAGTCTTATTACTGGCTTAACGAGGTAAAGGAGTACATCGACCGGGGATTGAACCCCAGACCACAAGCGCGGTTGGCGAACATTCTACCGTTGTGCCACCGACACACTTTACACATAGCTATATTGTCGTTAATTAAACCCTGTCTGAATGCAATTTACTAAGCATAACTCATTGTTGTTGTACATATTTTGTTCATTATTAATTTATAATGATTGATTCACATGATTTTTGCCCTTCAATATGTTGATGCAATCATCTCATCTTATCACAAAAATGCAATTGTATTATAGGTTTAATTGTAGCAATTTGGTATATTTTACTAAGCATTACGATTCATCTGTATACCATGTTTATTAATTTTTATTCTAGATTGTGTTCCCCCAGTAAATAAAATATTTTAATATTGTAATGAAAGCAATTAGCTTTCATTATCTAAGTTGTATGCAGTTGACAGAATACTGACGAAATAAAATGGAACCTTTTTATCATACTCAACTTGTTCTTATTGCTGTGTTCAAATATCGTCTGCACCATTGAAGACGATTTTGAGTCATATCATCAAGAGTTTCTAAACACTGATTTTAGCAACTCGTTGATGGCAGCCACAGAGTATACCCCTTTCTACGTGGCTCAAATCATTCAGTTTCTTTCAACCGAATCCCATTCCACCCAACGCTAATTGTTGAAGAATGAGGTGTAGCATATTTTCCAGCCATCTGAATCGATACAGCTTCACAACCACATCGACTGAGTTTCACTGTTTGCCTAGCACTTCACCTAATCTCATTACTGCTGCACTTAACGCTAGAGAATGATGTGATGTGTGATAAAAAATTACTGACGTTTTCATATTTTCCACATATGTGGCCGTCGTAAGGTAGAGTAAGGCAATGTGGCTCTAAATATATTTAATTTGATGAGTATATCTCGATTCCATGCCAGCACTGAAGATGACGAAATTTCATTATTTTATTACCTTTTAAGAAAGTTTCTCTTTTCATCTTTGTGCATTAGAGTACAGAGTTCATCTAGTACTCATTGTGACACCTATATTCACCCCTTTAAACGAACACAACTGTTAATAATGATAGTTTTCGATAGAGAAAGAAAGATTAGATTTGCAGTATAAAATGATATCATTTTATTTTGTCGCGTTGATCAGCTTCTTTTTGAATGAATCAATAAATGAATGAACAATTAGGGGATAGCTAGCTGTCTACCCTATCTTCTGTTTGTTCTTTGTATATTTAATACTGAATAATAACTTAAACTAAAAATTTTAATACTTATATTCCGGATGAGTTCATCTTATAATGTTTTCTCGACTACCTTTCAAACATCGAAGTATGAAATGTTATTATTTATAACCATTGTAATTTCAGGTAGTTTGCAGCTGATGTGAAGCTATGAAATAAAATGATATCATTTTATACTGCAAATCTGGTCTTTTTTTCTCTATCGAAATATATCAATGGAACCAAATGTATGAAATAATAGTTTTACTCTAGACAATAGGCTAACACACTGTAGATAATTCTCAGCGTACCTAAAATATTTATTTTTCGTACAGAATTTGTCAGTATATCACGCAAAGCTGTAATGTTCTGTTTGAAGCAAGATACATCACGACATTCTTCCTTGGAGAAGTGTGCAGTAATATAACGAAGGCTAGCTAAAAATGCAGACGACTTCATGTAGCGATCTAAAGACATAATTGTGTGACTAAAACGCCAAGAAGCGGAGAAGAGTTTATGCATTATACTTGGTGAGAATTTACGTGACCCAGTAACGTGAGCACGCCTCGGATGAAACTACAGTATTTTTCTTTTGAAATGACCAGAAAAATTGTCTCTGATGGTATACAAATTTTTTCTTTATTGGTAATAATTCACTTACTGTTTTTTTTTGAAAATATTTTATTCCAGAGACAATTAGTCATACAAAAACCAATGAAAAGAAAACTGAAATGTTTTGTGATATATGCTATCTTCCAGCAACTCCAAGTAAGGTTTATTATGTTGAGTTTCATTTAAATTATGATGACATGCATCCTAGAAATACCCTATTTTTACATATGTATTTGCACTGGATGCTGTTTTGTGATAAATAATATACATGCCTTTTAGTTCTTTTTTTCCAAAGGACTGTATCTACTCTGTTTTTTGCTAAGGTGTGCTACTTCGTGTGCACTTTGAATTTTAGCAGTAATGAAAACTGAAGCGCCTTTCGGTTCAAATCAATTATTTATTAACAGTATTGCGTTCATAAGAACATACATTTCGTCAATTAGTTTGTTGACTAATTGAGATATGACACTCGTGGTTGAATCTTCCTAGTTACTTTGTTTCATTTAATTTTGACTTTGTTCCTAAAGTTCTTATTGGTTTATTGTATTCAGAGCTATCATTTTTGAATAGGTTTGAACGTTCAAGAGGAGGGAATAGGAATGAAAAAAAAATGGTAAATAGAAGCAAAATTATTACGTAAACAAACAATTCATTAAATTGGAAGATGAGTCATGAGTTCAACTCAATGAGTTGCAATAAGAAGATAGTGTGATTAATCTTACACTACCCTGGTATCTAGATGTCTCTACTTTGTTTCTGTTTTTGTTGGGTCACAATTTTTTTATCACAGCTCACTGAAATAAACTCATGATTCATCTTCCAACTTACTCACTTGTTTGTTTACGTGATAATTTTGTTTCTATTTACCATTTATTTTCACTCCCAGCCTCTCCTCTCGAATGTCCCACCACAATATGTATATATAAATTCTGGTTGTTAGATTTTTAATTATCTTGTTTTTATATCTCTTCTTCTACTACTGAAATGATAGAAGACGAAAGACTTGGTAAAATAAAGTTCATTAGGAATTGGTATCGCTATCTAGCCAAATTATGCATACCTTATCTTCAACGCACCATTTGCACAGATCTTCGTGATGTGTCTCTTTCACGTCTCCCATGTATATCCACAACACTGTATGATTTGCCTTCTCTGAAATCAAATGTATCTCCTTGCTGTTTGATCCTTTGGTGCCGATGAACGTCTCTTTACATACTACTGATAAATCTTATCGATAGCACTCGCAATACTTCTATGCCTTTTGAGTTAAAATTTCTTTTACAGTATGCTATGCATTTTGCATTTATAATGTTTAGGCTGTTAGCAGATGATGAAAAACCGTGAAATAAAAATCATGAGTTCTTTTTGTTCTGGAAACATGTTATTTCCGTCTTTGTTCAAAACTATCATTCTTAACAATAACGGTTAATAAGGTGAATTAGGTGTTCAGCAACACACTGTGTTAAAACTGACACTTATTTCACCAGGTCGAATTTATTTAAATTATTATAAGTTGGGTGTCGGTGGTCCAGTGGTAAAGTGCTCGCCAGTCAGCCACACTGAATGTTTTGGTTCGCGTCCTCGCTAACGCACTGGCAAACCTCGCCAATCCGATAGTAAGCCCAGAAAAGTGCGATGGGCGGGCGTGAGGCTGTCAAAACCACCCTGTAGAAAATACTAGTGCTAGTGAAACTTTGGAGCGTGAAGCTGTTTGTTCCTTTCGGGATACAAGAAAAAATGATTTTTATGTGATACTCTTTCTTTAGTTTGCTTGTTTTTTGCATGCCTTCAGTAGTACGTGGTAAACAATCCATTATACTGATGTGTATCCAGACTAAAAATACTGTGAACACTTATAGTTATTGATTGATTATCAAAGAAAATTTGTACTACAAACGCATAAACGTGACTGGCTATCTTAAAAACCACAAACAATAACAAAGCTATAGTGCTTTTTGAAAGGAGAGATAATCATAATCACTTATTCAGATTGTTGTAGATTTTTATAAATTTTGAAATTATTAATATGCACATGATATATCGCCCGACTTATTTTTTGCCGTTCCCTTTCCTACCTCTCTCTTTCTAAACCTCTTAAAATATGGCTAAATTTAAGCCATAGGTTGACTATTGAAATTATTATCTGTTCCACCAATTAGTTTAAATTTGTCACATGATAAAGATATTTATTTCCCGTGGGTGAATTCAAACAATCGATTACTAATTGTTCATTGTGTATATGAAAATTTATGCAGCTAAGATCATCATCCATATGTTTCGCTTTTCACATTTAATTAATTATTTTTTAACGCCTGACCTTAATTTTGAATACGTTGTGCTTCCATGGTATGCACAGAATGCTCTTCAAACATTTTTGATGGGAAATGGCCAGTTTTCTATAACAGTGAACCTTCAGTAAATTCATCTCACAGTCATTGCAAGGTATTTTGTAAATTATATTATTTTGTCTAATTGGGTCAACAGGATCCCCTAACCTACAGAGCATGACCTACCCGAGTGGGTTTTTAAGTTTAAATGCCACCTTAATTCCTGCTTTTATACAAATCCTAAGTAGGGTCTCAGATGTCCCCTCTTCATATGGTATAACTGTAGATGCCTTATATTCCTTCTTATTTATGTTATCACTATTAATTTCACCATCACTTTTTATCTTGTTTTTGACCTCTATTGATATTCCTAATGAATTTTAAAGGATAGTTATTTAACACCAACGCCTCTTCTATCTGTTTCATTTCATCATTCGGGTTTTTGATATAGTGCTTAGAACTATTGCTCGGTTTGTTAGACACTTAACTAAGCCTACGTTTACAGATAACGCATGAGATGAATTAATGTCTAAATATCTATTATTATGAGTTATATGAAAAAGAGAAGACATTCAGCGAAGAGACTCTTTTCGGCGAATTCATTCACATAGCTGTACAATCGCATTTATATATACTTATTTGTGTGTGTGTGTGTGTGTGTGTACATGAGGTTTGTCAAGTTTAGATAATTGATTAGTTAATACAAGAATGATGTAGTATAGAGACAAAGTTAATCAGACAGCAACTAAAGTAAGATTGAGTTAGTAGGCTAGATGACGTAATATAATTGAGTAAAATGTTACAACTTAGGTCAGGATAGCAACAGAGGTATTACAGGTAGAGATTAAGTAGAAGTGAAATTGAGTAAATAAGTTGGATGAACAAGAAATGTAACAGGATTGAATGAGCTTAAATTTTATTATCTCGGGGATTCTTTTCACCCGCTAATCATTTAAGCGATACCAAAAACAAATGTAAACTTTTATCACACTCACAAGTTATTAAAAGAAACTGTAAACAACAAAAGTAATTAAGTTATTAAATGGTAAGGGTATTGATTGTTCATAGGATATTTAGATGACTGTTCTACCTATCTGTTTAAACAAATCGATATTCAAGAAATGAATAATGTTATTATCTTCATGCTATCCCGTAAATTTTACACTTGCATGACATAAACTCTGTTAACATTATCTTAGCTTCTACCTTATTTCTGGCATGCAATGAATGTGTTATCCATATACCATGGGTATATTTCAGGTATACACAATGCTTTAGGAAAACATATTTTAAACTCGCCAGTAATCAAACTCCAAACCTGTGGGCTTCTCCTTGCTATACAGTCTGTTTAAGAATACAGATCATTACCGAACACAAACTTTACGTCTTTTGGCATAAACATTCAGTAACTTCCTGAGACAATAATTGAGTATGAGAGACCAGCACAAATAAACTCAGTCGGTTCCTCTATGTGGATCTTCGTAAATAGTGAAGCAGCATCAAATGATACAAAGTGCTCAGCGTATGCATTCGAGTCGTTCATTTAACGGATGATTGTACGCCTTGAGAATCATTTTTGTAGAGGAACGACCATTTTATATAACCATTGTGCTAATTTGTAATAAGAAGGATTCACCATAGGTGACCCCCACCTTCACACACACACACGCAAATATATTTGATACTTTGATGTGCTAATCCTATGGTTATCTGGCGTAATTGTACCACTGGTTTGCAGTTTTCATCGTTTCAGATTTCAGCCATTCAGTAGAATTGAAAATAAGTTCTCTAATTGATCAATACGAGCTTCGAATTGACTTTCTACATCAGTCTGATCGAAGTTTCTGGTTGGCGCAAAAAGTTTAAAACCTTAAGATAATATTTTCATCTGCAACTTAGTCATTGTTAAACTAGACGAATTCCGTACACATAGATCTGGCTGTTTGCATTACACGGAGGTTCTGTTCTGTTCTTCTTTGTGATGTGTAGGAATCAGAAATCATAACTGAGTAGTAAGCTTGGTTAGGTGTATTGTAAATTATCTCTTAACTGTAATTCAGGCATGTTAAAAGATTGTTAGCCTTATTTCGTGGTTTCCACTTATCAAGTTGCATAAGTTTCTTTTGGTTCAATAGTTAAACTGTTCATTAATCCTTATTATTCTACCATGCAACTCCATTTTATATTACTCACTTTTCTTGATTACTTCAACGAATTCTCCCATTTTGTATCGATCGCACACTTCTCGAATTTGATACCGATTTGTTGTCACAGTATTCACATGTTTGTATGTTCGTTAACTTCAGTTATTAATATAGATAATAATCATATTTGTAGGGCTGATGAATCGTACTACAATTTATGAATCCACTAAATGCAGCTTTTTCACTGTTTGTGCTTAGTTTAAAATTGCTAAAGTTTTTTAGAAAACGGTTGACTCACCATCCATGGTTCTGTATAATTTCAGGGCTTTGATTGTGGAGATCAGTAACCTTTCTATTGGTACGCCAAAACATCATTTAAGAAAACTTCTTCCACGTTATTTCATCAAAATTCTGCTGCAATTCAGCAGTGTGTTCTGTAGAGAGAATGATGTAGTAGTCATGGTTTCACCTTCTGGTGCCGTCGTAATTAACGTCTTGACAACAGACCTGGTGACTCTCCTATGTCCTGCGATTATAAATTCCACTTATGTAAGAGGTACAGAGACAGTTCATTGGTCTATGATAGATCTGGTGATCTTCAAACCAGATTCATGCGGTTAGGCTTATATCAGTATTTTAGGACTGGTTATTTCACTCTCTAGATGTTTTACTACCAGAAACTGCATGCATCTAAATCTATGTGATGGGAGTCATTTTAAAACACAATGCAGCTTTTTCAAAGTTCACTTTTTTAGAGAATCACATGAATTTGTATAGGGGAGAGTCATTATTGAATTAGTGAGAATCATACAAGTGGTCGTTCAGTTTCATAATTATTTGAATATGTTGACATCATGACACTGAGATGAATAATTTTTCATTATTCCAAGGCGAACATTACTTACTTAAAAGTGATTTTACAGCGGAGATTTTCGATCGTTGAGGAAAAGAAATTTTCTGTTAAACTTCTACTTTCTAATATCTCATTCAGTATTTTTCAGTTTACCTGCTGCTGCATAGCCGAGCATTCTAATTGTACAATGACTACTGTATCCAAATGCATTATGAAGTATTATCACACTTAGTTTTTAGGAGGATAGTTTAAAATAGTTAGTAACTACATCAATAACCAGTCACTTTTTTCGTTACAAGTTGCCTCATCTTTAAAACTATCCAAATATTCAGACTGAGAAGACGTGATCTCCTAGCTTTTGCAAGTTGCAATACTCTATTAAGGTACCAAGATTTGTTTTAATTCATTAACTAGTCATACTTTTCCCCTTGTCCTGAATTAACTTACTTAGTATTGTGACCCACTGTTCACCTGTTGCTTGGTGATATGTTAATAAGGTGATTCCAGCCTTCTGTTCATTGGCAACCGATTACTGTTGATATTTTCACATATTATTGTGCAGCTTTAGTAAACGATGTCGTTGAAGTGGCTAACTGACGTCCCTGCATCTATCTCAAGATTAGTGAACAAAATCCTACCCACTGAAGCCTGCAGGTTTTTAAATAATGATGTTTTATAACTTACTGTTGCTGCCATATGTGAATTCTAATCCCTTCTTCAAGGTCTCTCTTAAAAATTAAATTTTACTGTGTAGTTTATCCGTACAGAAGTCATATACTATATTTTAGTTCTCTTCTTGCATGTGTCCTTATTCAGACTATGACAACGTAAAATAATGCACTGTTCAAGGTTCTACGTCGATTTATGTTTGGCTTGAATTCTTGACTCTTAAGATTGATCATTGAACTAACTGACGTAACCTAACTTTATTTAGTTATGATCCTTTCACTTACTCCTTTTACTGGTTTATGTAATTTTAGCGCATTCTTTCTTACTCCGGGTTTTGTCATGATAAGTGACATGCCATCTGCTGACGGTTAATACAACCTCCTTGTAACGTTCGTCGTATAAACCACCTAAGTCACTGTGTACTGATCAAGAGTTAGAAATGATGTACAAACAAAAGTCAATATTGGACGATTATATCCATCATCTTAAGCCTATTCCATTCGTGATGTATGTATATCTGTTTCATGAAGTCAACTAGATTAAAGTACTTCAGAAGAATGAGCAGACTTTCTCAACTCTAGTTCATTAAAGAGAATTAGAGCTTTCCATGATGTTAAACATTATTTCTTGTCTACTTCATATTTTATATGAAATTTATTCTATCCTTTTCATTTTTGTTTTACTTAGGTCAAATGTATGGGTTGTCTTGCGCTCACTACTTTTGTTTGAGTTGTTGGCAGCGGTATCTCAAAATAAAAATTATGGAAGAAAGCCAAATCGATCGAATTTATTGTCCTTCAACTAGTTGTCGAGTACTTGTTGAGGATGAAATAGTCTTTCAAATGATTACAGACCAAAATGTACGCAAGCATTTTTATAAACTGATATCTAATAGCTTTGTTTGCCACAACCGTTCACTGACTTGGTGCCCAGGAGTTAACTGTGGTCACGCTGTGCGTTGTTTCGGCCCACGTGAACCATATCAGATCACATGTACAAATTGTTCTGAATGTTTCTGCTTTGCTTGTGGTCAGCCATGGCATGATCCAGTTCGTTGTGAACAGTTAAAAACATGGATTAAAAAATTGGAAAATGATAGCGGTACACTTGGGTGGATTGCAGCTAATACAAAGGAATGTCCGAAGTGTCATGCTACTATAGAGAAAAATGGTGGCTGTAATCACATGACCTGTCGAAATGTAGATTGCAAGCATGAGTTTTGTTGGATGTGTTTAGATCGTTGGGAACCACATGGATCACGGTGGTATACATGTAATCGCTATGACGATTCCGCTGCTAAGCTGGCTAGGGAAGCTCAAGCTAGTTCTAGGTTATCACTTGATCGTTATCTCTTTTACTCAAATCGTTACTTAAATCATATGCAGTCCTTGAGATTCGAAGCTCGTCTCTACGAAACAGTGCAAAGTAAGATGGAATCAATGCAAGCACATGGAACATCTTGGATTGATGTTAAGTTTTTCAGGAAACTAGTCGAGATTTTGTGTCGTTGTCGCAGGACATTGATGTACACATATGCTTTTGCCTACTTCTTGAAAAAGAATAATCATTCATTAATATTTGAAAGTAATCAAAGTGATTTAGAACAGTCTACAGAACAATTGTCAGAATATTTAGATCGTGATCTCTCCAGCATCAGTTTAAATGAATTAAAACAGAAAATGCAAGATAAAGCAAGGTATTGTGAAAGTCGTCGACACGTTCTACTGGATCATGTACATGAGGGTTACGATAAAGGATTTTGGGAACAGTCAGATATTTGTTGATATATATATATATATATATATATATATATATATATATATATATATATTGAGTTGTTCATGTGCATTCACCTATATACCTAGTTTTTATCTGTGTATAGTTTCTACTTTTGAATTACTCTATACTAGCTTTCTTTCTGTATCCCCTTTGACTTTTCATTTTCTTAAATGATTTTGCATATATTTCATAAAATATAAAATACACTCCCATTTCTCAAGGTAAACACATTACTGACAGTTGAAAAAGAAATCAGGTCAACATTGTACTTGCCTACCTTTTTATCTTTGCACTTTTCTCAATATTCATTTTGAAGATGTCAGATAAGTTGACATTTTTGAATTTTATGATGATCTCATATCCCTTTTCTTTTATTATCTTATGAATGCATATTCTTTCTTTTAGAACTATGCAGTGTGTTTACTCTTCATTTGTTATTTTCTCCACAGTTTTTATTGTTGTTATGACGATACCTTTCATTGTTCACATCAAAAGTTTTTAACAACAATCCAGTCAAACAGAGACAGTTGAACTATTCTACATTTTTCATTCTCTTATTGCCATGTACAGTTTTGTTTTTTCTCTGTTCCATTGTCGTGTTTTTTTTTTATTAGTGTCTGTGTGTATGTTTTCGTAATGGATGTAAGTACATGTATATGATTGTTTGCTTCTAAACACGTGCATATGCGCATAGACACAAACACACACACACGTGTATATTTATTGTTTTGTCAAAGATCTCACTCACCTTCATGTCGAAGCTAAAATGTTTACATCAGATCAAGAGGAAAAACAATCAGTTAAATATGGATACTAATTTTTTAGACATCATTTACTACTACTTCTTGATTTTCTCTTTTAATTTTAATAAACTAAATGATATATATATATAGTCTGCATTCACTTATTTTTGAAATTTCATTCACTTCTATATGCTTTATGCGCATCCGTAGAAACTGTATTTCTTTCTTACTATCGTTCCATTCTGTTGTTATATAAACTACAAGAAATAATACCGACTAACTTTTGGCTTTTTGATTAATTATAAATTTTGCATAGTTTGGTTTGTAAGGGTTAGTTATGTTTTTCCGAGTCGATCACGGATTGATATCAGTTAAAGAACCATTGAAAACCAGGGAGTACTGGACAGCTGCTGCTTCATCCTAGTTTGAGAATCATCGGCAGTACGCACCCACTGGGGTTCGAACCCAGGGCCTTTCAGTTACAAGGCAAGCTCTAATACCATTCAGCCACTGGGACCCGATGCAATGACCATTGCATGAATTTTAACTTCTACCAACTCGTGATTTAGCGTAACCGCAACCAGGGTCCCAGTGGCTGAATGGTATACGAGCTTGCTTTGTAACCGGTAGTTCCTGGGTTCGAATCCGAGTGGGTGCGTACTGCCGATGATTCCCAAACTAGGATTAATTATAAAATTAATCGTGAACCATAAAGTGTTAAGTGTATATTTTTTCAATCGTCATTATATGTATATGATAGGTGCGAAGGTAGCTTGTGTTTATTATGCGTCAATTCTAATAGAATAGCTATTGTTTGTTTGAAAACTGAAGTAATTTAACCATTTTATCCTCTCCCTCCTGTTAGTCGTCATAATTTTCCAATGATCAAATCAACTTTTTTGATGATCAGCGGTATTCTGTTCGTTTACTTTTGTTAGTCTTATTGTTCCCTTGGGTTATGAGTGGAACACGGAGGTTCAACAACTGATCTCCAATGTGCCCTTTTTACTGGTGTCCTAATTAGTTAGACTAATGATTGCCTATAATCTTACATCTCCTTGCACGATCTCCATGTCACCCTAACACCATCGACCCGCTCCTCGTTTCCCATTGGGGTTCCACTCGGGCGATGGCCTGCGGCACGATGTCAGTCAGTGTGTGACTTATCCACCTCCATATTATTCTACAGATTTGTTAAGCAATAGGTTCTTGGTTGGTTTGTTGCCAGAGATTCATGTTGCTAATTCTCTCTGGCTATTCGATCTTCAATATGAAGTGAAGGCATCTGCTGATAAAAGTCTGCAGCGGCCAATTCGAAATGCTTTCCATGACGCGCACATCATGTTTCCCACCCATATCGAAGAACTGACTTAACGTTGGTGTTGAAGAGAATCAGAATTTCCATCTTCATGTTGAGGAGTGCGGGAGACTTCCAACCTGATTTCAGATTAATGAGGATTGCTTTTCATTTTCGATCCTGACTGGCATTGACATCGTCATCCGCGCTATTCGCCCCTGCATGAAACGATGTTTCCTAGATATGTGGAAGCAGTGACCTCTTTCAAATTCATTCCATTGAAAGTGGGTGATGGTGATTGTTGTTGCTTATGTTGGTTGTCTGGCTGCTTGCTGGCTTGGTCGATTGGTTGGTTATCTTCGTCACCTGCGTCTTCTCCATGTTCACTCAGAGTCGTGTCGTCGCCACCTGCTTCTCCTGCCAGCTTGTTGGCTTTCGCCAGTCAGTCTTCCTTTCTCTGTGTGACATTAGACACAGATCATCCACGAAGTCCACATCTTCCACACTCTCCTTATCGACTGACCCGACGTATTCCTGTCTTCCCACTGCCCGATCACGGTCTTCCGAAGAGTCCAGTCCACCACGGTTAGCAATATCATCTGTGATAATAGGCCGTCAGCCTCGTCTCACTCCTTCACTCTTCACTTCGAACGCCTCACCGAGATTTCAGTTGTGGATCACCTGACACGAGGCATTGTCGTGTAGCCAGCTGTGGTTGAGTGAGGTTGATGAGGACGTGTGCACTGCACACCGTGGTGTTGACGTGAATTTCCGAATTGCTTCGCAGTCACCTCTGTTGGAGGCCATTTCAGAGTCGATGAAGTTGAGTTAGAGAGAGATTTGACTGTCATTCTATGCTCTGTTCAGTGATGATGAGTGAAGTTGCAATTTGATCAGCACATGATTTGGCCTTCGTGAATTCAGATTGTTTTGGTCTGTTGTAGTTGCGTGTCCAGTGCATCTGTTGTGGTCAGCATGATGACGCGACTTAGTATTTTGCTTGGAGTGAACGAGATGGTGATTATGTGCCAGATCTTGTGGTGGCATATTTCGTCGTTCATTCGGTAGTTTGGTAGGTTTGCATTTCTACCGATCAGTAGGCATCTTTCCTTCTAAGCATTTCGCAATAATGGCGTGAGCATATTCGATGCAGTCCCTAGATCCATTTGCAGAGCTTCAGGTTCAATATTCTCTTGTGATGCTGCCTCGCCCGGTTTCAATGTTTTATTTATTTGTTCCTCTTTCTTGGTTATCGGATCCCCTTGAACATATTTTTCGTTGGTTTCATCATGTGGGTTGATCTCCTGCAGAATAGAGACCTGTTTATCTGATTTAGTGTCTTGAGGTCTCTTACCTACGTGTTTTCTGTTTCACTTGCCAGCCAGTTTGTCGTGAAATTGTCTCCCGCCTTTCCTATGACTCTGCTTCGCGGCTTTCTTGATTCAGTGAAGTGTACACTGAACACAGCTTCTACTTTTGTTTATCTCTTCATTGGTTTTAACCTATTTTTCACCATTCTTCTCTCTACTGTCCGCTTGTCTTGTCTCTTCTTTCTTCCTAGAACAGTTGTACGCGTTTCCTTGAACATCAGTTTCAAAGATTTCACATGTTCTTCCACACGGGTTTCCTTACTGATGCAACGTGGTGTTTCCGATTTCGCTCTGATATCTCTATTGAAGGTGCTTTTTGTAGTTTTGTCATTCAATTTCTGTTTTTTGAACTTGAATTTTGGTACGTCCCCGGTTGTTTCGAAGGCTTCAGTCTCACCTTGAAGCAGCTTTGAACTAGATGATAGCCTGAGCCTACTTCTGCTGTACTTCTACGCATTTTGTCCCGCAGGCTACATCCCCAGTTTCTTCAGATGAAGTCTATCGATAATCTGGTGAGTCCGTCAAAGGAAATCTATGTCGTCTTTTAAGTATCTGTGTGCTTGAACAAGCTGACTACAACCACCAAACAATTGAAGACACAGAGGTTTGTGAAGATTTGTCCACTCCCACTGATTTCATTGAACCAGAGCCGCTCAACCCATGATGGGTTCTCGTCCTGTATTATCTGCATCCAGCTCGACCTCCACTCATATAGTCCATTAGAATTTCGATGTTTCCATATGGGATTCATCCATTACTGCTTGCAGTTGTCTATAGGTGACTTCTTTTTTCTCTTGCTCCGAGGTGTATGCACACTAAGACGATCGGTACTCACTGCATAATAGCATCGGCTGTTGTTGGTGACATCATGATAGCCACAGAGATGCTGGTGGTTGACGTCTGGGTGAGCGGAGTATTTTACTGACCCTCCGGTTGACAATTTCGATCGTCCGCATGCAATTTATCTGTTCTCACAGATTCCTAACACTTCCATGCCACATTTTCAGCTTCCTTTGACCCCCTGGACAGTCATCTCCGCTTCAGACATTGTACGAACATTCCACGTCCACAGTGTTATTTTTGTTTTTATAGAAAGAATACTCATCGGCTGACTGGCTTTCCGGAGGCTTTCACCAGTAGGCACCATTCTGTCTCTCCGGTCCAGTGGGAGAATAAGTTCCTGTTTTCTTTTTTGATGTTTTTCTTGTGCATTGAAGTTTCTGTAGCAGATTAGCTGATTTTCCGGAGTAGAGTCACTAGTCTGACGTACAACCTTCCCTCTTTTCCAAGGCCTGGGGCAAATTATAAAACTAGTGAACTAGGCGAGGTTGGTTGCATAGTTAATATACCATAAATTTTTGTCTATTGGTTTGAAAATCTACTCCGTATTGTTGTTCTTGGTGAATTGTGTTTAACGTTCACTAAAGATGCTCCCAAATAGTTCACTTCACATAGATCCGGTGTATAATCTTTACGCTGTTCTACCGATTTCATAATGATAAAACTACCGGTACGCGTTAGTGTAAGGCTGTTGCTCTGAATCTGGTAGTTTACTGTCGTTATTCGAACAGCATAATAGGAAAAGAAAGAGATTACTTTCATGACTGAAATGCTTCTAGAAAACTTAATTTTTAAGAATTTAGCCTTCTATCTTGCTGGGCAATCTGGAACAATCTAGAGGATACTTTAGAGATTGACGGGTATCGACGTTCGCGAGTTGTACGGATTATACTAACGCAAGATCTTATACCAACAACTTCTATAGTGTTCGTTCTTCGAGTACCAAATGGTAAAGCAAAAGACCAGATTTTGTCGTCCAAAGTACGTAGTATATTTCGGGACAAAATTGCAGGTAGAGATGAATGCTTAGCTAGCTAGTAATCGTGCACGCACGTGACACGACGGAGCACCAAATGGCGGGGATGCTTGACCGGAAGCCTTCAGCTAAACAAGTCGACTTAAACAGTGACGGTCAGCATCCAATGTTGAGTGATGATTGCTGTGGTTAATAATTTTGGGGAATTATTTACCGCTACAATACCTTTAAGCGAATATGTTGAAGAAAGTGTAGATGGTGGAGCCGTTTATTATCATCGCACACCGGGCCATCGCTCGAGTGTGATCTTATTAGTAAAAACGCAGGTAGTAGTACTCGTGTTACAAAGAAATAGCAAGGGTGTAAGATCTGAAATTACAGTCAATCATCAGCACAACCAAAGAGCTCAGCAGATTACAGAGCACAGTGGAAATGTTTCTGATGTATTTGTGTTCTCTGAGCTGGATAGCTTACTTGCGAGGCTTTTATATTGCCCCACTAGGCAACATCTTCAGCATATCAATTTGCAGTGAGCCTTTAGATTTCTCCACGAGTTTATTAGTCATCTCTCCTTGTGATTTTGAACGTGATTGGTACTGATTGTTTCCTTGACCAGAAGTTTGACGCTCTGCGCGTGAGATTTCCTTCTTTTTCTATTGGTAAATTGTATCTCTGTCACCATGTCTATTTGTTGACGATTAAGTGAAATATGAGGCGTCTAAAAATTTTCCAACATTCTTGTTGTTTCGTCTGTCTAATATTTGAACGTTGTCCCAATCGAATTGATGTTGGTGGTTGTCTGCATGCAGTTTGAATTTCTTTGACTTATCATAGTGTTTTTACAGTTATTATTACTGTATGCTGATCTTATCATGATTTTCAAAACATTAAGGAGCCCTTTTAATCTCGGTGTGAAGGCGGAAATTCGAAGAGGCGTCACATAACTGTGGAATACTGGTTGATATACTCTCAGAGATGACTTTCACACGAATTGATCTATGCGCCCTCAGTCAACTTATTCAAAAATAAATAAGACATGTGGATACTCTTTAAAAAGGTTTTACCTGCATGAAAGTCTATTGTCACAAACTATTCTCTGAAAGTCTGCAGTTCATCTAACTCATCTTTGATATTGGACATTAAAACCTGCAAGAGGGGTTTTCAACATTTCAAGGTTGGATAGCCAACAAGGCAAGTTATGTTCCGCTTCTAATGGATTCTGTATTTCTCAGATACGTAGTGAATTGTCAGTGAAACTGAGTTTGATCAGTGAGTGTGCAGCAAATAAAGTTATCTTATTATTTAATTTGAAGATTTATTTGTGAATACTTAATAATTTGAAATATATTAGCTGGAGTTATACTTCTGGTCCCCTAGCTAGCAAAATGTCCAACTTAATGTAAAGATGTCAAGCTGAGAAAGCATTAGTAAACTTTCGGAGCGCATTTAACGGCAGTAGTCACTTCCCTAAAGTTGTGAGACTATCTGCACTGCACCTGAACTCCCCGATTATAACATGGGTGTCTTGAAAGTTTTGGGGGATTTTCAGGGTGAAAACTTTGCATTTTTCTTGAGCTTTTCTGCTTCGTTATGATGACAAATATCTTACTTTTGCCTCCCGAAAGTGACTGTAGCACGACCTGACTTATGCATTAACTACTCAATGCTACAAAAAAGTAAGACTGCACGTGTACTTACTGTGTCATGCGCAGATCACGTTCTCATGTCAACCAGAATATGTCGTGGTAACCAAAGACTGGATTTCCAAATAAGTTTTCTTTAAAATCATTTAAAGCGGTGTACAAGTTTCCATTATTGCAAAGGTTCACTAATAAGTGAAATCAGCTGTGAGCAACCACATGCTTTCTGCATACTTAGACTCCATGTCCTAATCCCCACTTGACGATTGTGTGAGAATGTGAGATCTGCTTAGCCACCTTGTTGGTTTTCTTCTCCATGTCTTCAACTCGTCACGATTCTTTTGAGGCCCCATACTTATTGCATGTTATGACATGCAGTAATGTATTAAGTTTTCACTAATTGACTGACTAGTTTCAACATAAAACTTTGTACCAATGTTCAGCAGTTCGACTCGCCACACTGCACCCAGCACACAAGGCAAGAGAAGAAAGTAGAAGAAATGCATAATAGTGATAGTAGACAGGAATATGAGACAAAGGAATAGTAATAACGAAGAACAATATAGTTTCATTGTGAATTCTAAGTCACAAGGAGTGGATGTATCTGCGCCAGCCATTGAGAACGATTTTGAGTCATATCACCAATTGTTTCCAGCCATTGGATTTTATCGTCCCGAGGACCCCAACCAGGAAGTCTACAGCTTCCTACGTGGTCTGAACTAACTGTTTTGGATTTCATTGACTGGTGCCATATTTTGGTTTGACCGCCGCTAGCTCTTTTTCAGCCTGACTGGGCATACGTAACACATTTCCTAACCATCTCAGTCGATGTTGCTTCACAGCCTCGTCTATTGATTTTCTCTCCCTCCTAACCTAGCACTCGACGGACGCCTAACCTCAATATTGCTCACCTTATTATACCACTTAACACGGGTGGCAGAACGCAGGCACCTTTGATCAAAGACAGCTAGCCAGGCTTTTCATGTCTTCCACTCTCAATGGCCACGTCTCGCTCACAGCTATAAAGGAGGACGGAGGGGACTGCTAAGCAGTACACACGCCCTTTGGTGGATAGCCGGATATCACGTCTACGCCAGAGATGACGTAAATTGGCATATACCAAACGAGCCTTCAGCACCCGTGTGGTGACTTCGTCAGCAATCAACTTGTTGGTGTTGGCTGATTCAACTTCCCAAATAAGTGAAGTGATCAGCATGATCTACCACTTTTTCCCCTATTTCTAAGCTATGAGTCAGTGTAGTCCAGTCCTGTAGCGTCATCCTACATTTGACATCAGGGACGAATCACATGCCAAACATTCATGGATTGCAACTCAAGGTGTTCAGAAGACTGCGTTTTGTCAGTATCTTTATTAAGCGGGGAGGACTATATCATCTGCATATTCTAAGTCAACGAGATTATTCCTTGGTAGTAACAAGTTAATTGCTGAGTCGCTGAAGTCAGCAGTTAGGGTTAAGTCCATTAGTACATCTATGATGAAATTGAATAGAAATGGGGATATTGGGATCCCTGAAGGACACCACTGGTTGTCACTACTTCAAATGACAACTCTTCGAAGGCTCTCATTTAGCTGGCTTCATGAATTCGAGTACAGTGCCTTGATCAGTGCGATAAGTCGTTCTCAATGGCTGGCGCAGATACATCCACTCCTTGTGACTTAGAGTTTACAATGAAACTATATTGTTCTTCGTTACTACTATTCCTTTGTCTCATATTCCTGTCTACTATCACTATTATGCATTTCTTCTACTTTCTTCTCTTGCCTTGTGTGCTGGGTGCAGTGTGGTGAGTCGAACTGCTGAACATTGGTACAAAGTTCTATGTCAAAAACAGACAGACGGACAAATACCTTCACTACCGGACATCACCAGAGTACCTCTCGGTTGGCAGCATCGAATGTCATCTTTAAGTCAAGAAATATTGCGATTGTTGGACGCCGGTAATTATGCTTATGTTCCAACATCTGTCGAAGAATGAAGATGTCATCAATACACCCTTTTACTGGTCTAAAGACTGCCTGATTCTGTGGTGTTTGTTCCTCCCGTGGACCGCCTAGTCTTCGCATTATTATTGAGCCTAAAACTAGCTACTAAGTTAGTCAAGCTAATCCCCCTGTGTTTATCACAGGAAGTCTTGTCTCCATTGTTGTATACTGATATAATCAATAACGTACACCAGTCGAATGGGATTATCTCTGATTCCGAAACGTTGCCTAATACTCTAATTAACGCAGACAGTTAACTGTCTCCACCGTCCTTATACACCTCTGGAGTCATTTCACTGACATTCTTGCGTAAACAGTTTGCGATATCTGAAGATAGGTATTGTTATTATTAGTATATGTTTGGGAAATTGTCTAATTTACGGTATAGGTTCTTCAAATGTCATGAATAAACATTATTACGTGGCTAAATGGATTCATTTAGAACATGACGTGTGCCTGAATCAGTTTAACAGCGATAGTGAACGAGGAGAGAATAATGAGAAAATGAAGATATGAGTTTAAGAACAAGTGAATTTTGATGGAAATGTTTCTAAAACTTTTATGAATAAAGGCGAAGATAGTCATCTTAATCGATTTTGGGTTGTCACAAAAAGCCGTCTGGCATTTCAGTAGCTGCTCTTCTGTAGACCGTACTGCAGTACAAAAATGAAGTCAAAGTAAGGCAGTAAGCATCTCTCTTTAATTGTGGTCAAAATTAATTTATTTTCGCTCCAACGTAATTAAGCTGTTGTTCCAGATGCGAATTTGTAAACTCACAGTGGTTTTCTTTCTGTATGAAACAACCTACTTATACCATGGCTATATATATATATATATATATATATATATATATATATATATATACATATATGGGATATCGTATTTCTTGTATTCATTATTGCTTTTACTTTCCACTAAGTTTAAAATGATTATGAAAATAAATCTGCAAAGCGTACATGTTTTGTGATACTGTTAGATATGGGTCATTCATTTTTTTGGTCAATTCATTACTTTTAACCTTCACATAATCAGTTTAGCTTACAAGTAGCTGTTCTTTTACGGTCAATACATTGCTATAATCACGGTTGTTTGCATTTTAGGACGATGTCTGGGGCTTTTGACAGAACTGGGGAATTTCGTGCATGTACTCAGTCGTTTCATGATCGCCTTCTCTCTGGTCGGTTACGCTTGAAACCCCCTCATCCCAAAAATTCAAGCGTAACTGAAAACAGTATTACTACCGAACTTTTAACTAGATCAAAGCAGATGTCGGGGGATCTTAAAATGACCGTTTCTAAAATGGCTAAATTGAAAATTTTATTACAAGGTAGATCAAATTCATCTCCAGATGTTCTCAGCAAATTAATTGAAGTTATCCAACTTGATATAATAGATTTAAATAAAGCCAAGCTTGAACTAAAAGCTAGCATCGTTAGAGTTAAAGAACACTCTGTCACCAATACGCAACACTTAAAGCACATTGATCTCATCGTTATCAGTTTAGAATATCATCTGTCATTCCTGGTTTCCGAATTTCGCCTTTTGTTAGAGGAACACAAAAGTTTGCTTTCGACAGATTCCAAAATGTCAAACACAAACATTCCCACGAATCCTGATGTGAATCAGTTAACTAAATGTGCATCGTATTCAGAAATAATTACATCTGACAAAAATCATTTCCCAAGCTCTTTCCAAAATATATCGTATCGTCCTACAGAAGACAATCGGCCTCAAAAAATCAACCACTTTCCTGGTAGTCCACCTTCTCATACCTTGTCATTGCCAACACATACAGCTAATTCACATTCATCATCGAATCTGTCATCAGCAATACCTGTTTTGGAATTAAATAGTTCTTCAATGAACAGCAGACCAGATTTTTATGACTCATCTCGCGTAAGTTGATTATTCATATCTCAAAATGGTATATATATATATATATATATATATATATATAAACATTACTGATAGGTAACATTTCCTCTGTTTCTTCACATCTTTCTGTTTTCCGATTGCACGTAATCATTACATGGGATTTATAGAGTTCTCTAGTATTTGCACATACGCATGTAAATATAAGGTTCCTCATTTTCCTTGTAGTTCTGTTGGATTGAATATCAAGAAGGTACATGGTTGATACCTTAATAAATGTTGTATCAATATTTTATTATTATGCAGTCCACCTTGTTGGGTTGTTGTTTAGGTTTCGCAACAAACCAACAGTTGTTATAACTTTAGGTAACCATTTCTGTAATCTGATATAGATATATAATATATGAAACTGAGGTTGGTAAGCTACCACCTTCTTCGATGACCAGTGTTAGCTAATATAGGATTAATTTAATCATGGTCAGAGGAAAATACACCATCAGTCCTTAAAGCCACATAGGCGGGTGTAAACCATCTTATTGTGGTCCTAGGGATTCTGAGAACCAGTTTGTAGACTTTTAATGACATGACTTAAAATCATTTTTAATGACACAGATTTACTGACCCCTTGTTGTCTACAAGACCCATTTAATCCTCATTATTCTTCACATAATTATTCTTCTCCCCCCCCCCCATACACATTCGTTTGTTATGATCTTTTACTGCGTTTCTTTCCTCTAACTTCGTTTGATTATGTGAGATGTGGCAACTTAAACAGATGCGCTTTTGTGCAAAGTTCTGCGTTGATTCACTCAACACACGAAATAAATTCAATTCACAGCTCATTCTGCAAAAGCTTTTCTTATTGTGTTATTCACGTTTATCAAAGGAGTAGAAATTATAAGATCAGAAATTCTGTCCACTTCTTATTTTATCATTTTTTCCTGACTAGTATGTAACTAGGTTGGGGCTTAACTTGGTCTCACCGAATTGTCGCTTATGAATTATTCAGTGTGTTACTATAATATTATTATTTCGAATTGTAATATAAAAATGCAAATAATTTCGATATCTAGCCGATGACTTTCAGCATACTGTAATATTTCTAGTATTTGAAGTTATAGGGTAGTTACTAGCACTTCACTAGCTACACTGATGAGCATCTGTAGTGATAATCATAGTACCTTTAAAACAAGCAACAAATGTTAGTAAAGCAGGATTTAATGAATACATCAAATTGCGGTAGAACTCGTCAGCTGAATACTCTACTCTGCTCTACATACATGCATAAATAAATATATATATACACTTTTGAAATTACATTGGGAGATATAAGACTGATAAGAAAATAAACTATATTGGATTAGTCATGCAGAAAGACAGGTGCGAATGTTTTCCAAGTCATGCTCAAATAGAAAAGGGGAGAAGAAGTATGAGAGATTAAAATTAGGATAAAATGCATTATACTTCAAATACATCACTTAGATAAACAATTAGTCATTAGAGAATATGACAAGAATTGCATACAGAGCAATATCAATAGTAATGGTTATAATAACAATAATAATAATAGTGTTGAAGTGAGTTAAGATAATCCTACTGACAAAGGACAGTTTTAAATGAATCGAGAATAATAATAATGATAGTAATAATAAGAAGAAGAGGTAGAATAATAGTTAGAACGTATTACCGTGGTAGATTCACAATCACGACCATCTCCTTTTGTACACAAAGACCTGGTTTATTTTGTTTTATTTATTTATTTTATTTTGATTGCAGCTTGATGCCACATCGTATTTTTAGTACAAGTATGGAATTTTCAGCATGGATATCGGTAACCCAAATTTTGCAGGCCGACCATAGATATCAGGTGTGCATCGGCAGGGGATCGAACCCCGGACCATGTGCATGGTCTGCGAGAGTCCTAACCACTGTGCCACCGACGCACAAACCTCTGCAATTGCAAGCATCTTCTTGTTTCTTTGTCTGCTGACAACAGTGAATGACTTGACCACGTCGATATCATGTCCGTAGTCCACAAGATGTTTTGTTATCGAGGATTTTGGCAGTTTGCACTGAGCTGTTTTCTACCATTTTGGCAAATGCCCCATCATGCGAGTAGATAATCGCCTTTCCGTACGACCTATGTATTTGTTACCACAAACACACTCAAATTGATATACGCAGTTTGAAGTGTCGAGGATTGGGGACTGGTCTTTCCCAGATTATCGAAGCACTCGCTTAGTGGTGTTAAGTAAACAAGTTTTCCAGCATAATGAGTTCTCTTGATAGCTTTATCGAGTTTTCGTTTGACTACTTCCTGTACATCATCTCCTTTGAACGGCAAATTGATATAGACAGATTTCTTCGGAACTATTTGAATTGTTTTGCATGGGCTAATTTCTTTAGAGCATTTATTAATCAACTTCTCAGGATATCCATTCGTAGATAGAATATCCTTCAGAGCTTTTATTTCACGCTCAATTGTACTGTCAGAACAAATTTTCCACGCTCTATTAAACAGTGTTCTAAGTTCTTTTTATATTGAATTGGAACAAAGCTCTTGAAATGCATGTACTGTCCTATCCATGAAGACTTTCTAAATATAGATCTTTTGATTGCGCCATCAGTCATTTTCACTAGAAAACGTCTAGGAATTTAATAGTATGATTTTCCTCGTGTTCTATTGTGAAATTGAGAATCAGGTGGCATGAGTTGAATTTTATCAACATGTCTTCGGCTTTTGGTCTGCTTCCATAGACAATAAAAATGTAATCAACATATCTTAGGTATACATCCGTTTCTTGTATATGTTGCTGCAAGGTACCGGTTTCTAGGCCTGACAAGAATAAGTCTGCGAAAAGTGGTCCCAAAGGGCTTCCCATTGCGACACCATCAACTTGACGGAATAGACGCCCGTCGAATTGGAATTGGACATTTTTAGTGCATAAAAGTAACAATTTCCTCAATCCCGATGTTGGAATGGGTATGTCTTCAGCTTCTTTACATATGAAGTCGATAGTCTCAACGACTGGCACATTTGTGAAGAGGGAGGTGACATCGAAAGAGACCAGATGCTTATCAGATACATTGAAATCTCTAATTTGCTTGACAAAGTGAAATGAATCAGAGACTATATACGTTCGGAAACGTTTTCGCAAGGGCTGCAACAATTCACAAAGCCACTGTGCTAATTTGTGGTATGGTGAGTTTATCATAGAGAGTATAGGTCTTAACGGCGCTCCTGGTTTGTGCATTTTTACGCGTCCGTATAATTTTGGGATTTGTGACCCGATCAGTTTGATAATCCTAAATGTATTTACATCTTTTTGAAGAGTTGCTGTAGATGCTGCACAATTTTCCTTTCGGTCGATAACGTTTGATCTTTTGCTTGATTGTCCAATTTGAATTTAGATTCATCAGAGAGAATTCGATGCATTTTCTCGAGATAATCTATCTTATTCATTGGCACTACACTTTGTCCTATATCAGCTCGTAAAATAACAAGATTATTGTCTTTTCGGAGATTGTTTAGAGATCTCCAGTGTTCTTTGGTGATATGCGACTTTTGATTGGCCGGCATGGTTCGAAATTGATGAGCAATATCAACCATCTTTGATTTCAAGCAGCTTTCGCTTTCATTGGACGTAGCATGTAGCCCCATAAGTTCGTCATGAAGATTTTAGATTTGACATTCGATATCAATTTGCTTTATCTTTTTCATGGGAACACAGAAGTTGAATCCCAATGACAGAATTTCTGCTTGTTCTTTTGATAGGGAAACATCAGGTAAATTGTGAACATAATTAGATATATCCACTGGGAAAATGTCATATGGCGGTTCCGGAAAATGTACTTTTGAATGTTCGGATGTATTATCTTCACTTCTTTCTCAACATTTCTGCACATTTTTATATAAAATTAATTGTTGGTGTACGCTATTGCCTAATACTAACTGAACAAAATAATCTAAGTTATAAAATGCCATTAGGTGTTTATGCAGTCGAATACGTTAGTTAAACAAGTTGTTATGACATGAATTGAACCTAATCTAAGTTAATTTAAACATTGCTATAAATGCGTCAACATAATGAAATATAAGGATGGGACACAGTAGCACCATCAAAAAAATAGGTGGAGAAGAAGGTCAGTCATGAAGTATCTACAGAATCGAACTTAAGACGTGCAACCGGAGTTACACAAAATTCATCCTTGATATATTTAAGATTTTACTATTACCGAAATTGAAGAAAGTGAGAAAGCAGTAATAAATAGAAAAAATAATTGAAAAAGCCATACAATTACCTTGAATGAGATTATGACCAATAAAATGTTCTGTAAAGATCATCCAGTTACTAGCACTGTATCAATTTGTGTTATACCAAATAAGCTTGTTTATTTTGGCATTGCACTCTGTCACAGCATTTAGGTTTCATTTTCGTTCCACATTTTTTTCGCATCTTCTAGCTATTATGATATTTTTCTTACCTGCTCTGTCGTTGGTGAGATAGTTCTAAAAAGGTATACCTCACATAAATATATCATTACTTTTTACAATTTCTTCATAAGGTGGGAGCTACTAGCCAGGCGACCGAACAACTTCAGTTATTTGCAAGTAATCCTCATGTTTCGCTTATCGATCAGGAAGTTCGTCAACGTGATGCTGCAATTCGACGAGTAGAATCAACTATCGTTCAACTTGGGGAAATTTATCAGCAATTCTCTAGTTTAGTTCAAGAACAGGGTGATCTGGTATTACGAATAGACAGTCAAACCGATGATATGGAAATGAATATTAGTGAGGCACATGCACAGTTGCTGGTGTTTATGCGACGAATTTCTGCACAAAGAGGATTTCTTATTAAGGTTTTTGTAACTATTATAATATGTTTCGTTGTATTTGCATGGATTATGAGGTAAATTTACTTTCATCCTTTCTATATTGTACCTTGAAGTCTTTCAGTAATTTTCAATTTTGTAAACTGTTGGGCTTTCACTTTCTACAAATTATTTCTCCTACATATGGACAATCCATTAGTACTTTAATTTTTAAGTATTATTATTAGTTCGTCAGTGAATTTTGTCGAGGATTTTGTACATAACTAATTTCCGATAAAAAGATGTTAATTAAGAAATACATATTCTTCCTCATGATTTTCATTTTCAAAATGTTCTTTCAGTTTTTCATACCCTTGTAGATGTCTGAATGTACAGCTGTTATAGATCATATCGATAGCAGCAAAAAAGATGTTAATGATGAAAATATTCGCTTACCTTCAAAACGTCACTATCGTCAACGAGCTCACTGTAATCCTTGGTCAGATCATACACTTGATTATCCTCTGAAACCAGAATTAATGGATTGGGAAACGTTATTTGGAGATTGTCGAAATTCTTTGTCGCTAGTGAATACTGGTTCTTTTGATCCCCTCGTACGTTTTTTGGATGTAGGTTGTGGATATGGTGGACTTTTGTTTAATTTATCTATCTCTTATCCATTTACGCGGAGTGTTGGATTAGAAATACGCTTGAAAGTCTGTGACTTTGTTCAGGTAAGTTGCATAACATACTGTTTATCGAATAAATACTAATAATAGTATCTACTTTATGAAAAAGAATATCGTGTATTGTTTTGTATTATTGAGTAAACTGTAGCTTTTGATTTACTTATTCCCTTCGTAGTATATGGTAAACTTTTGGATATCGTAGTGACTGTTAGTTGCTTTAAGCTGCTCAATACAAGTGGGAAACAGTCCAACTTCATGTCTTAATAACGACAAAGTTTCGTCTGTGTACACAACCAAAGTACTACGAAAAAATCCGAATACTTATTATTTTTTTGATTGTTGATTAGATAAAATCTACCGTGATCACTTATGAACTCTGCCTTGCTCCTCAGTATTTTCGGACTATCCTATATTTGGCTTAGTAAGAATCTTTCTAATATTGCACGTGGATGGAGCTGTTTCCTGTATAGACTACAATCTGTAGGGAATGTTTCATGAACATTTTTGTATACTATAAGGTTATCAGTTAAAAATGCTTGGTAGCTCCACTGGCTAAGATAATCAGTCAGTAAGGACTGTGTTAGGAAGTCTACTCGTTGCTAAAATCCTCTGTTATAGATTCTACCACTGTTGAGTACTATTTCACAAAATAAAAAGAACACTTCATGCTAACCAAAGAATTTTCATTTGTCCTATATACTAAAAATCTCTCCTAGTCTACTAACCGGTTTTAAGCCTTGGAAAAGCGGGAAGGGGCTAGGGAACCTACCTCGAAAAATAAACCAATTCTCTACACAAACTTCAAAACACCACAAAAATATAGAAAATAAACTTATTCTTCTCTTGAACCGGAGAGACGGAATGACATGGTTTGTTAAAAGCCTTCGGGAAGTCAGTTCATCATCTAACAGAGCATAGAATGTCAGTCAAATCCCTACTTCAATTTCTTCGACTTTGAGATAGACCTCAGCAGCGTTGACTGCGAAGTGATTCGGAAACTATTTCAACACTACAGAGTGCAATGCCCCCAATCTTTATCAACATCATTCAACAGCTTTGACTGCCATGTGTCATATTGTCCATGATGGGAAACTCAGCGAGGCGTCTGAAGTGAGGATAGGAGTAAGACAAGGCTGCCAATTTTCACTGATGTTATTCGTGTTTGTGGTGGGCTGAATCATTTGGAGACCACAGGGTGCGAGAAGATAGGACTACGTTGTACCTATGGGAAGGCTAAGAGATATGGACTTCGCAAGCGATTCATGTTTAGTGTCTCAGAAACGGGAAGGTCTGCAGGCGAAAACCAGCAAGTTGACAGAATAAGCAGCGAAGACAGGACTTTAAGTGAACGTAGAGAAGATAGGGATGATAAAGATACCTAACCGACAATAATAAGCACCAATCAAATTTGAAGGTCATTACACTTATCTAGGCAGAATCGTTTCGACTACAGGCGGCAGGGAAGAAGATGCTAAAGCTAGCCAGGATTTAAAAGGCAAGACTCACCTTTATGAATTTGAAATCAGTTGTACTTAACGCAAAGATCAAGCTTTGGACTTTCAACACCAGTGTTACTTCATTCAGTCAGTTCTTCTATTTGGGTGAGAAACTTGCAGTGCGCGTCATGGAAAGCATTTTGAACAGGCCACCGTAGACTTTTAACAACAGCTGCCTTCTCTGGTTCCACACTGAAGATCAGATGGCCTGTCAGGAAATAACAAGAAACTCTGGGAATGAACCAATGAAGAACATATATATCGGAGGAAATGGGGACTAATTTAACACACGATTAGGGGACTGCTGGGTGATATGGCGCACCAGACCATTGGTCGAGTGGAATCCGAAGTGAAGACGATGAATTGGGCGTGGGTCGAAGATGACATGAAGGAGACCGTGTAAGGAGGGGATGGTATTCTCATTGGAATCGTGGAGAACTACAGGGAACAGGACAAAGTGGAGATGTCCTGTTGAAGCCCTATGTCCTATTCAGAACCTAATAAGTACCACAGTCCTCAAATATTCATGTTTAACCTTTGAGTCAAAAGTGAATATACAGCTTTCCTAATCTTGACTTAAAATATCGAATACCTCTTATTCTTATTATACTACTTATATCCTACTGACGTATATTTAACTGCCTGTTATGCAAATATTTGAATGGCTCAGGTCACTGATTAATTCAATTAGCTTTTCAAGTGACGTGTGAATTATTCACTGATAATACTTTATCACTGTGTAATTTTACCGATAGTGGCCCAGCGGTTAGGACGCTCGCCGACCATGCACATGGTTCGGGTTTGATCCTCGGCCGACGCACTCCCTTACCTCACTAAACCAGAAATAAAAGCTGGTAAATAGGAAAGGTTGGGCATGAGGTTAGCAGCCCCATCCTGTAAAAATAAACACTGCTACAGAATCTTCAAGCTTGAAGCCCTATATTCCACTGGGAACGTGAAGGAATAAAAAAAAATGATGGGATTATTCTCTACCACAGTGCTCAAGTTCTGTCCTTATAGCGGTGGCATGTAGATATACACATCCAATCAGGGACAAGCCTTGCAAGTTAAGGTGTTCTGAGAGCTGGCTGCTAGCCAAATTGGTAGATGGTAATTTATCTCAATGTTTACGTCCTCAATATTGGTCGTGAGAAAAATATGAACAAAGACTGATTCAACAAACAACCACAGCAGACTTTGCGTAGGCGTATACTGTTAGCATATAGATGATCTGACATTCAAGAAACAGCCACAAAGAGATGAAAGATTAACTTCCAGTGAGAAACAACCAATCAGCAGACTGTGTTTTTCTGCTAACAATAATCTATAATAATGTACATGAAAAGCTATAAATATGTGTTGATTTCCTTAATAAAAGATCTGTTGCCTGGCCTTCGTCTTCTGTTGTTACAAAGGGATTCAATTAGATAAAATAATTTCATTCAAAAAATACGTAGCGATGACTAAGAGGTCAGCTATGTAGGCCATATCAGTAGATCAGGGTCGATCAACTTGTTAGAACATAGAAACTTAGCTTAGTGTTAAATTATTGATACTAGGTTGATGAATAGCTTAGAGTAAAACGCAGCAGTCGTAATGCACTTACTAACACACCCACACCATAAAGTGGGATGAATCTATAGTTCTGAAAAATAACATAGGTAGGTGGCTAGAGAAGTCGGTAACTGAATCTTTGTTCATAACATCTACGCCTAATACGTGCAATAGGAATAACGTTACGCAATGCCGGATATATGAAAGATATTACTAACAATAAAACAATGGATAAGAAATAATGAAATTACATAAACACAGTTTGGAAATAATGTTAGTGCCTTGATTTGATTGATATGAGCGGTAAATTTCAGTTGAAACGTCATCAGTAAGTTATACTGTATGACGGTGTTTCTATCAAATAAAATTATCCCGTTATGGAATTCTTCGTTTGTATTTTTTGTGAAGACATGGTTAGTTTTTTGAGTGCCATCTATTGTTGGGAACTAGTTGAGTTGCGTTATCTTGAACAAAACAGATACTGTTGGTTGTACATTTTGCATCCTAGTTATTGTAGTCCCATGTGATTAGAAATATTCCTTTTCACTACTCTTTGTGTGGCAAATTTCTGCATGAAAAGAAATATTTCATGATTCTGCTTTTAATCAAATACATTTTTCTTTATAAACAGGAGAAACTCAATGCTCTGCGTCTGAAACATCCTGGTCAGTACAACAATATAGCTTGTATTCGTACAAATGCGATGAAGTTTTTGCCCAATTTCTTTCACCAAGTAGGTAGTGAACAAATGTGTTTAGTTTTCACAGTTGATGGTTCAGTCTACTTTTTCGCATACCGGTGTAAACAATATATTTCAATTAGTGTGTTAAGCCTAATCAGATAGGTTGATATTTTATTATTTTTTAAGCGATTATTTAATTGTAATGTCCACCTTGAATTTCTGGATATACATGTTACTTGAGGTAGTTGACATTCACTCCGTCATATCCAGGTTTTGAATATATTGCCTTCATTATCTGTGGGCATTGAGATAGTTAAATGATTCTTAGGGCAACAGATAACACTGACGACTTCTAGTCAACGAAATAAACCCTACCAAGGTTAGCTAAAATTAAAATTTGTAGACTGTGTTTTATTGCACACTGAGTATGAATCATGTAACTGATAATCAACAGTTTCTACTTATCGAAGTAGCTGACTAATTTAACTATGAAACACTTAGCATAAGGTTACATGATTCAGATTTTCAACACCGATGTTCTATATGGGTAAGAAAGTCGGTACGAGCGTCACTGAAGACAGTTCTAACAGGCTACTGTAGTCATTTTCCAACATCTGCCTTCGCTGGCTCCATAGTGATAATTATATGGCCGAAAAGAATTAGCATCAAGGAACTCTGGGAACGAACCAGTCATATTGGGTTTCGCTTGGTTAATTAGGTTGAAATGATTACTAGCTTAACGTTTAAACCAAGCAGCTCCAACTACGCTGTGACAGACACTGGATTTATAGCATCTGAAGGTGATTAGTCTTGTTACATACAAACCAAAGCCAAAGGTAACTACACATTCGTATGCATCACTCTCGCCTTAGTCTAGGTTTATACTCTTTATGTACCTGTGTGTATGTCTTCCTTATTCTACTTTTTATTAATTTACTATTAAAAAAGTGTGTAACTTTAATTGAAGCATAATATATCTTACTAAACCCCAGATACTAGACAATATTTTGCAGCATGAATTGCAGAAAATAACATCCTCAGCCTGTTTTGAATATAACTGTAATAAATTCAATTGTTTGGTGTACAAAAAATAGTTACAACTCAGCGTATACATAAACTGGTACTGATAATATTTATAATTTTAATACTTCTGATAGTTTATTTATTTCCCACAGAATTTCTTCTATCAATTTTCAAAAGTATTTGATAAACTTACTGCATCATTATTCTTGTTTTGATTTCCAGGCTCAGTTGCACAAAATATTCTTCCTCTATCCAGATCCCCACTTCAAACGTGTTAAGCATAAGTGGCGTATTATTTCTCCAACCTTGCTGGATGTTTATGCATACCTTTTGAAACCTAGTGGTAAAATATATTCAGCTACTGATGTTCCTGACCTTGGCAAATGGATTATGGATTGTTTGTCCGCACATCCTCTTTTCCGTCCAGTTTGTCTTATTCATCTCCGTCCTCAGAACAAAGATACGAAAAATTCAAGTGAACTATTGAAGTTATCTGCTGACTCAAATGTATTTAACAGCAGTCCTTATTTTATCAACGACTCTGATGTATTTGAGAAAATGAAAGAATCAGACCCAATCCTAAAGTTATTGGAACAAGGTTGTACAGAAGAAGCCCACAAGGCGTGCAGAGAAGGACGTGAAACTCTTATTATTGTATATGAAAGAATTCCAAATCCACCTCTGTAAATAAAGTTTTCTTGAGTTTTAAGTCGGTAGTTCGTTCATACAAATGCTTAGAACAGGATTTTCTAGGTATACTTAATTGTGTAGGCGACGCATCTATATTTCATTTAAGTCAGGTGAGGTGGTTCAACTCTTGCTGAATAAGCAGAGGAAGGAGTAATATTAACCTTTGTGTACAGGTTTAAATTATCTAAGGGTGACAACGAGATGGATATTTTTTAAAGGGGCACTTGAGACAATAATTATTGGTTTACTTGCATATTGTGACCATCTGAATTTCACTCACAGTAAATAAAAAATCTTACGTGATTGCTTAGGAAAAATTTCGACTTTGGTATGAAGTAAGATCGGATGAACTTTATGATATAATGTGAAATAGTCAATAGGATTCGGTTTTTATTCGTGAAAGTCTGTTAAGTTATATGATAAGCAACACAGAAGTTGCATATTATAACTAATCACAGCCGTCAGTTGAATGATTTAGTCACTGATGACTAACAGTTTAATAATGTAACTCCTCGCTAAATTGGCTGTTTAATTTATAAGTATTGTTTGTGAATGCCCGGTTTAATTTTATCAGGTAATCGAACTGGTTTAAATACTCTGGTGTGCTGACCGCGTTTATCACTTTCCAAAATACAACGAACTTGTGTTCATAAGATTTCCTGGCTTTGTCGTCTAAATCTACATAAAATACCTTTTACTTAAATGGATGTACATTAGTGAGGATATTATCTCTGTTCATTTTGTGGCATATTACGGGAGTCTGTTTCGAACTATATTACACCTTGTATTTGTATCCAAAAATAACCACTTTTTTTCAGATAATATTTTTGATACGACTTGGAGTTTGCATTATGTAGCGTCAGGAAAAATTCACTCTACACAAAAATTTCCGAAGTAAATAAGCAGACAGTGTCTGTGGCAATAATAACGTCATGAAAATAGGCTAACTGATCAACTATTGAAATATGATTATTGGATGTCTAAAAGAAGGTGGAGATAGTCGATAAATTCAATTTGTAACACACCCTGTCAAGGTATGAGTTGACCTTATTGAGTACCACTCAACATTCACCTAAACTAGTAGGTGAGAAAACAAGTTTCACTACTCCAAAGGAAATCAAAACTGTTGCAGTAGCCAGATTTATGGCAAATGCTTAATCACAACATGTATAATGAACGCTGCTTTCTAAAAAACAGGAGATTTACGAACAATTTACAGAACCCCTAGGCTTTCTGGCAGGAATATTTGCTCTACAGCATTGTTTTTATCCTACATAAACATGAATGACTCCGGTGACTTAATATTCCACATCTACATGGTTATTAGGTGGTGACACCCAGCGTTTTAATGGAAATGTTAAGTTGAGGTATTCGATAAAGTCCTCTGGCCGTTAGTTCCTAGTCAGTGCTCACTTCCCCGTTTTCAGCTTTCATAGTGTTTTTTGTTTTCTCGGCCAGATTGTTTCACTTCATATTATAGTAGCCCTTCAATTACTTCCTTGAATTGCATCCTGTACGGATTTCAGAACACTTTTGAACTATCGTTGTAAATTTTCAGAGACAAATATTTCGGAGGAGTGAACAATGCTGTCGCGTGGAATATTATCATTTAATTTGCCTAGAGATTCTGAAGAAGTAAGGCAGAACTCTGGGTGTTTCATAATGTAGAAGCATTGTTGAAATCGAAATTATCATCACTTCAGTTAGTAACTGTTACTTGTCTGATATCATGCAATTATAAATGACTTGGAAGACAAAACTCTATGCCGTAATTGATATAAGGATAAAGCTTGAGTACTGTGGTAGAGTAAATTTCCATAATGGATAAAATTTATTTTGATAACTTCACATAGTGTTATGCATTAATATTTACTGATGACATTTCGAGCATTTGTATTGTTAATACTAATATTGTTTCCGAATGTACTTTAACTTCCTTTCTGTTTCACGCATTTCCATTGAACTTTCACTGATTGTATCCATATATCTAATCAATTTTACTCATGTATATAAACGAAGCAAGAAAGTTGTGTGTGTGTGTACCTTGATATGATTATGAGCAATAATTTGTGCTGTGTGCCGTAATCACTATTGTATCGTCGTATCACTGATAATGATAGGTTGTACTTGATGGTTATGAGGTATTTATAGTTTTTTTTAAAGCTGAAAACAACATACTTCCGGATTTTCATCTACTGCCAGCATAAAGAACTATCAAGCCATTAAACGGGAAACCTTTTCAATTAAAATGTTTTCAAATTGTTATAAAATGGTTGTACCCCATCGGGTTAGATTTTTAGAGCCCTGGAGATAATCATTTCATCTCATCAGCAAGCATAAAACAACCGCTGTCTCCCTTGAAATTTTAAGGCACTAGTTCACCTTCCAGTGCTTTAGCGAATAAACTCATGCCTTGTGCTGTTAACAATAGCGTAGGATCCACATTTTCAGCCATACTTGCTAAATGAATTCCAATATCTTTCCCATGTAAAAGCCCGACTTTTCATTGTATTACCATGTCACACAAATAACATCAGTCTGTCGGTCAAACAGATGGAGCCACACAGTGTGGTTGTCTTAGGAGAAGTAGACTTCACCGCTATCGTAGCACCATTGCGAACACTCTGAGTGAGTAGTAATGGAGGTACATTACAAATTTTCGCCGTGTGTAGGATAGGCGGATTAATATACACGTGGAGAAGCAGTCGTATACTTTAAGAACGACTGAGATGGACACTATCACAAAACAAGTAAATTCTAAGGCCTCTACAAAACAACCTTCGAATTATTTTCTACAGTAATATAGGCTGAAATCGATAATTTGAGTAATTACATTGGTTGATGAACCTATTATTAAGGAATCATGCGAAATGCGAGGGGAAACCATCGATTTGATCGTAACATGTTTCTGTTACAAATGCATGGCTAATAATTCCTCCTACAGAAATTAGACTCATGGATACCAGAGTGACCACGTCTCGCAGTTGGCGAATTTAACACCCGGTCTATCGACTGTAGAACGTCTTAGCTGCACTGTCAGACATTTCTTTTGAACACAAGCTGATAGAATCTTCCATATAAGTGGTTTCACAAAGTAATGAGACCGCTCGTAATAACTTTCATGGATCCCTTGCCAAACATAAACTAGGTTTCCTCCCGAAGCGAAGAAACCAATTTCATCTTACTTTTTTCACTCTTGGTAAGTGCTGGTGACGAAGTGCCTATACTTAGGGTTACAAGTGTCGCCACTTCCCCAGCTAAAGTCCCTGAGAGAGTAAACAACGGGAAAGCTGATGCAAGGCTGTTATCCTTTTCTTTCATTAGCGAACTGCATTGTAAATCTGAAGCCAATGTGGAAAGGCATTCAGCAAATTAATACAATTGTAATCACGGATGACCCTATGGACTATCCCTCATAAATAAATCTGAAGACGAGGGATCTAGTTAAACGTCAACTGATGAGCTAGATCGAGTTCATCTGCGACCAGGAAGCAATATATTACAGTTTCAACCGAAGCTATTTCAGGAACTCGGAGATCAGAGAGTTAAGTTGTCATTATTATTATTATTGTTCCCTTGGGTTCCTAGTGGAACATAGGGCTTCAACTGCACGTCTCCACTTGCTTCTGTCTTGTGCTGTACTTTTCACTTGCGTCCATGTTATTCCATACTGTTTCATCTCCTCCTCACACGATCTCCTCCATGTCACCCTTGGACGTCCCACCCGCCGCTTCCCTTTCGGGTTCCACTCGAGGGCCTGACGCGCGATGTCACTCAACGGCCTTCTCAGCGAGTGTGCAATCCACCTCCACTTTCTTCTGCATATTTGTTGGGCGATTGGTTCCTGTTTCGTTTGTTCCCATAGCTTCTTGTTTGTGATTCTTTCCGGCCATCTAATCTTCAGTATGGAGCGAAGACAGTTGTTGATAAAGGTCTGCAACCTGTTGAAAATATTCTTGGTGACCCGCCAAGTTTCTGATCCGTATAGAAGAAATGACTTGACGTTTGTATTGAAAATCCGAATTTTGTTGTTGATGCAGGCTGAGTGACGAAGATTTCCAGATTGGTTTCAGGTTGATGAATGTGTTCCTCGCCTTCCCGATTCTCGATTTGACATCCTCGTCCGTTCCTCCTGTAGTTGAGACAATGCTCCCCAGATAAGTGAAAGAAGTAACCTCTTTCAAATCCCTCCCATTGATGGTGATTGGCACTGGATGTTGCTGCTGTTGTTGGTTAATTATTTTCATGACCTCCGTCTTGTCTATGTTCACCTGGAGTCCTGTCTTTGCTGCTTCTTCGACCAGTTTATCGGTTTTCGCTTGTAAGTCTTCGATTTTCTGTGACATCAAACATAAATCATCCGCAAAATCCAGGTCTTCTAGGTTCTTCACGTCGGTCCAGGATATCCCTGTCTTCTCGTTTCCCACTGTCTGACGCATAATCCAGTCCACCACAATTAGGAATATCATTGGTGATAATAAGCACCCTTGTCTGACTCCTGTGTTTACTCGAAACGCTTCGCTGAGTTTTCCGTTGTGGATCACTTGATATGTGCCGTTGTCGTACAGTTGTTGAATAAGGTTGATGAATATTTGGGGTACGCCGTAGTACTCGAGTAGTTTCCAAATTACTTCGCGGTCAACGCTGTCGAAGGCCTTCTCAAAGTCTATGAAGTTGAGGTAGAGATTTGATTGCCATTCCATGCTTTGTTCGATGATGATGCGTAGAGTTGCAATTTGGTCAGAACATGATTTGCCTTTCCTGAATCCAGCTTGTTCTGGTCGGAGTTCTGTATCCAGTGCGTCCTTTATTCTCTCCAGGATGATGCGACTCAGGATTTTACTTGGCGTCGACAGGAGCATGATTCCTCGCCAGTTCTTGCAGAGTCCCAGGTCGCCCTTCTTTGGTAGTTTCACGAGGTAACCTTTCCTCCAGTCAGTAGGCACCTTTCCCTCTTTCCAGATCTTTTGCAATAATGAAGTCAGCATATCTGCTGT